TGTAGTGGGAATTAGTTGTTTCGCACAGGGCTTTTCAACCAGTGGTACGGGTACCACCTGTGGTACATTAGCACCTGGCAGGTGGTACGCGACCATCCTAGAAAAGTGGTAGTGGGGGGGGGAATGAGCTGAACTGGTGGCAACACCGCACAAGCCTGAGCGAGAGACGGCTGGAGCTGCAGGGCTATCAGGGCTCCATGGAAGCGCCAAGATCAGCACCAGGCTCCAGCTGGAGCTCGGCGCTGATCCTGGTGCTTCTGCTGAGCCCTGAAGAAGCACCAATCAGCTGGAAAGCAGCACTGATCCTAGCGCTTCTGTGGAGCCCAGAAGAAGCGCCGATCAGCTGGAATGTTGCAGCATCTCCAGGGTCTTGTGATTTACATTCAGATGCTTGGCAACTGATTCATATTTATGACGGTCCCAGTGTCCCAGGGTCATGTGAAGTGACCAAAACCTGCTGCAACCACCCAGCAGACGGAGGGGAATAAAAACCAAACATCCCCCACCCCACCCCCACTGCCAATCCTCAACAGAAATGCTCACAATGAAAACCTGACAGGAGGAAGAGCGCGGCCGGGCGGGCAGGCAGGTGTCTTGCTCGGCTGTGGCTTGGGGGGCACTTTTTTCAGTGCCATTGTAACTTTGAATAGTCACTAAGCGAACTGTTGTAAGTCGAGGACTACCTGTACTTTATCACTTTTTTCCTTTTTTGGGGGGGGGGTCATCAAGTTTTTGACACCTTGCTAGGCGACTGGTGGTACTTGGATGTTGCCATATCCTAAAAGTGGTACAATGGGTGAAAAGGTTGAAAAGCCCTGGTTTAGCAGAGTGACGGCATGGGAGGAAAACTCTGTTTATGTAGGTTCCCATCCCATTTTGTTTCCTCTTAGGTTGCTCTGCTCTGTCCTCCTTGATATTCAAGGCTAGAGAACATTGTGGTTACTTAGACCCTTTCTTTATTTTCAAGAGCCAACTAAAAAGTGTCCTGTCTTATGGGCTCTACTGAATAAAGTTCAATTCCTAGTAATTTTATGGTTACCTCCATATTGGCTTTCTTGCAGCAACATGGTTGTAGTTGCCATGGCCTTTTTTCTGTAGTATTTCAATTTTCACATCTAGTCATAGCATTTTCCAGTGGTTGCCCAATCAAGTACTAATCACAGCTAATTTTGCTACAGCCAAGATGGCTAGCTTGAAATACAGAGTGATTGAAGTTCTGGACAATTCATGTTTTTAGTTTATTGTACTGTTCATTGATATGCTGCTTTCAGTGCATCGGTTTGAGACTACAATATTTTTTATGAACTTTCCTCACTGATAAGCAGCCTATAAATTTGAATATAAATATGAACATACTCCAAAATTCTTATGCATATGCTTATTTAATATTATCAGTGTTTATAATATAATGGTGTGTGATGATTAATCACACATATTGACATAAACTAAATCTGTATAGCTCTATAGCTTTATAGAGAGGTCTCTATAATTCTGCCCACAGCTTGTAGTTCGATCCTGACAGAGTTCAAAGTTCACTCTGCCTTCCATCTTTCCGGGGTTGGTAAAATGAGGAGCCAGATTGTTGGGGGCAATATGCAAATAATGCTTCTACATTGTAACCCACCCACAGAGTAAAGCACTATGAAATGGTATATGTCTAAATGCTATTGCTATTGCTAAAAGCCTGAGCATAAAAGTATCTTAGAAATTAAAATAATAGCTTAAATTTTGGATGGCTTATACAGATAGTCTTTACAACAACAACAACAACGATTTTATTGACACTTTGAATGTACACCAATCGGTATACATCAAAATGAAATTTCATTGCATACAGCTCTCAAAGGGTCACCAACTCCGATATACACTCCTTGTTCGTGGCCAGCTCAAGTTACAGATCTTCCATTTTAGTCTCTAGGGAGCGAACGATGACAAACAGGACAGATGGAAACAGAGCTTTGCTTATAACCATTCATTTAACAATGTTTCAAAGTTATGATGGCCTTAGAAAAAGTGATTTACAATCTGTCCTCACACTTATGACCATCACACCATCCCTATGGTCACTTGATTACAATTTGGGTGCTTGGTAACCGCTTGCATTTAGGTAAGTTACGTAAGTTAAGGACTATCTATATGGGTAAAGAAACTGATTCCTTTATTATTCTATTTCACCCTAGTTTTGTACTAAGTGTCATTTAATAGGCGTAGTGAAATCTTGCTTAGATAAAATCATTTTGAGATATCTAGAATTGCTAGATTAGCCCTTGGTCTTATTTGCAAGGTATTAAAACCTTGATTTTGGTCAGTTAAAATAGAGCTGGAAGGGACCTTGGAGGTTTTCTAGTCCAACCCCCTGCTCAAGCAGGAGACTCTATACCAGGCATGTCAAACTGCCGGCCCGCGGGCCGGATGCGTCACGCTGAAACCGCGCCCACCCCACTGCTGGCAATGGGGAAAAAGTCCCGATACGTCGCACGGCATCACATAACGTCGCGGGTTTGACATGCTTGCTCTATACCATTTCAGGCAGGTGGCTGTCCAGTGTTTTCTTAAAAACCTCCAATGATGATGCACTTACAACTTCTGGAGGCAAATTGTTCCACTGGTTCATTATTCTCACTGTCAGGAGGTTTCTCCTTAATTCCAAGTTGCTTCTCTCCTTGATTAGTTTCCATCCACTGTTTCTTGTCTTGTCTTCTGGTGCTTTGGAAAATAAGTTGTCCCCCTCTTCTTTGTGGCAGTCCCTCAAATACTGCAATACTGCTATCATATCACCTGTAGTCTTTTTCTCTAGACTAGCCAAACCCAAATCCTGCAACCATTCTTCATATGTTTTTCTCTCCAGGCCCTTAATCATCTTAGTTGCTCTTTTTTGCACTTTTTTTTCAAAGTCTCAACAACTATTTTGTAATGTGGTGACCAAAACTGGATGCAGTATTCCAGGATGTGGTCTTACTAAGGATTTATAAAGCAGTACTAATACTTCACGTGATTTTGATTCTATGCCTGTGTTTATATAACCAAGTATTATATTAGCCTTTTTGGCTGCTGCAACACACTGCTGGCTCATGTTTAAATGATCGTTCACTAGGACTCCAAGGTCCCTCTAACAGTTACTGTTTTTGAGTCAGGTTTTGCCTAATCTGTACTTGTACCTTTGGTTTTTTCTGCTTAGGTGTAAATTGGTGCTACAATCTCAACCACAAGGTTTAAAAGTAAGTCCCCATAAAATCAGTTGAATGGTCCAAACATGAAGTACACTGTTTTTCTTGATGTTTCAGATTAGTGTAAGAAGATACACACACCCCCCAAACATAGATGACAGCTTTCTGTCATCGGCAAGATAAAGTAAGACGTTTTGTACATGTCATATCACATAACCGACAACCGGATTAACCTTAGTCACCCTCAAAAGATCAGTTGTAATACCCGACAAGCAAACCAAAGCCACATCAGGAGACAATTTAATTCACACTCTGTATTAACATCCGTAAAACAAACACCTTAACCCTACTTATCCTCACCGAATTACAAAGGTACTCTATCTCTCTACTGAAAAATGCAATCTTGCTATTCTGTTCTTTTTCATCTCTAGTTTCACATTCATCCCACCAAGCTTCCAGGCAGAATTCTTCAAATTAACCACCCTCACTTCACGTATAGTTTGAACTCACTCAAGTCATTAAAATGCAATTCTTTATTTTTAAAAATGTAACCACAGCAAGCACGGATGCTGTTGCACAGTTGAAAGAAAGCCAAAACAACAAACTCAGGAGGGGAGCTTCATCGTTGGCTATTGAATATTATTTGCCAAAAATGAAACTGGCAAGCTAGAATAATCAGTCAGTAATCTTTTTTTCTGGTTTCTGAAGGGAACTAGAAGCCAGGAACGTGCATATAACTTAATAAAGTCTTGAGAGAGTTTGGCTGCTCCTTCCTGTGAGGGTTATATGGATGGACAAAGCTTGCTTGTTGGTTTTAGATGAAGGGCTACTCTTCTGATATGGGTTCAGCATAACGTCTGAAAGAGCAAAAGCATACAGCAGAGATCTCAAATAAAAGAGACGTTGCAGCTTCTCAGTGGCTTTAGCTGAGTTTAGAGTAGAACTGGCACAGCAATTTTCTAGTGATCTTCAGACCACAATATGCTGGAGCAACAAAGATGATTAGGGGACTGGAGGCTAAAACATATAAGGAATGGTTGCTGGAATTGGCTATGTCTAATTTAACGAAGAGAAGGACGAGGGGGGACATGATAGCAGTGTCTCAACATCTCAGGGGCTGCCACAAAGAAGAGGGAGTCAAGCTATTCTCCAAGGCGCCTGAAGGCAGGACAAGAAGCAACGGATGGAAAATGATCAAGGAGAGAAGCAACCTAGAACTAAGGAGAAACTTCCTGACAGTTAGAACAATTAACCAGTGGAACAACCTGCCTCCAGAAGCGGTGAATGCTCCAACACTGGACGTTTTTAAGAAGAGACTGGACAGCCATTTGTCTGAAATGGTGTAGGGTTCCTGCCTGAGCAGGGGGTTGGACTCAATGACCTCCAAGGTCCCTTCCAACTTTATTATTATTATTATTATTATTATTATTATTATTATTATTATTATTATTATTATTATTGTTATTGTTGTTGTTGTTGTTGTTGTTGTTCTTGTTGTTGTTGTTGTTATAGGTATTGTGCCTCTTTAGAGCACTGCTTTGATTTACAAACATTTTCCCTTTAAATCTCAGCTGCAATTAAGACATTTGACCGATCTGTATTTGCATATGTTGACAAGGATTAAGGAAAGTTTTAAAGAGATTTTTAATTTGCAGCTGGAGGGGGGGGGTGGGGAATAATTGTAAGGAACTCATTTGTATGCAGATCTATGAGGTAAGTCTTTAAAACCCTCTGTACCAAACATAAGAAGAAAACAAACAAACAAAACTTGTAAGATGTTAATGAACCCATTTAGGAAAAAAAAATAATTGCAATATTTTTTTGTTTTCTGAGACCCAGGAGGCTGGTAGCAGATGCAGAACTTGCCTGTGAACAAGCACACTGCTATCTTACTATCAAAGCACAGAACAGATGGGGTGACCTGGCTATGGTAAGACCTGAGTAGCTTTGAAACCTACATGTGTCTAAAAATGCTTTCAGGGCTTCAGACAAATGCTTAGCTTTGATGGGATATGGAATTTTTTTTATTGTTGTTAAAAAAAACCATCTAAAGCAAGCCGTTAACAAACATAAACAAATAGCTCATTAGCAATCAAAATGAGTCGTGAGCTTGAAAACAATGTATTTCACTGTCTGATTTTAAGCTTTTCAGATTCTTTAAGAGAGAGAATACAGCAGAACACATATCCATTATAGTTATTTATGCAAGTACATGGTTGGTGGTAATGGGACTGAAATGCAAAGGAGTTCCAAATTTGATAGCTGAGATAAGCCCCGAAGGCTTATTCCATTAATCGCTTATACCCCAAACACTTTATTAATGTAAAATTATCCATATTGGATCTTGCACAGAATTTGTAAAGTTTAGACCCAAGGTAAGTTGCCGCCTCCTCCTCTATTGCCCCTTGACCACATCTCCCTTCCCTTCCCACAATATGTGTAATTAAACATCAGCTGAAGCAAAAGTCTTTGGCTATTTTGTTTTCTCCAGAATGCTTCTGGGCCTTGACTCAAATGCCCTGTGAAGCTACATAAAGAGGAGCATTGCCTTTTGGTCAACATGTCATGGTTGATTGTTGCCTACACTTTGATGTAGTCCAGACCAGAAGCTCAACAATGAATCCTAGCTCTGTCTTTACTGTAAGAATAGAATAGAATAGAATAGAATAGAATAGAATAGAATAGAATAGAATAGAATAGAATAGAATAGAATAGAATGGGACCTTGGAGGTCTTCTAGTCCAGCCCCCTGCTCAAGCAGGAGAACCTATACCATCTCAGAGAAGTGACTGTCTCTTAAAAACCTCCAGTGATGGAGCACCCACGATTTCTGAAGGCAAGCTGTTCCACTGGTTAATTGGCCTCACTCTTAGGAAGTTTCTCCTTAATTCCAGGTTTCTCATCCTTCCCTCTGGTGCTTTGGTGAACAACCTGGCCCCCTCTGCCTTGTGGCAGCTCCTCAGATACTGGAACACTGCTATCACATCTCCCCCATTTCTTCTTTTCTTTAGACTAGCCAAACCCAAGTCCCATAGCCGTTCATCGTATGTTTTAGTCTCCAGGCCTTTGATCATCTTAGTTGCTCTTCTCTGAATTTTTTTCCAAACTCTCAACATCTTTTTTATGATATGGTGACCAAAATTGGCTGCAGTATTCTGAATGTATTCATTCTCTCCTTTCCTTTTACACTCTGGAAAACTAGACAGGGTCCCATCTGTAATGCTTCCCACAACCCTTCTGCATCTGTGCATACAGATGTCTTTTGCATGGTGGTTGTCTAGTCTGTGATTCATCATTCTGTCTCCCAAGACCATTCCCACATTCCATTACATTTTATGTGAGGGAGTTAGGGAGAGAGAAACACTCTCACATAAATATCATCCCAGCTTGATAGGTGATCTGTCTATATCTCAGGGCAGAAGAATCTACAGGATGAGTCAAAAAATTCCAGTAGTGGCTGCAAATGTGCAATAGAATCAGAAGTTTGATCATGTGTTCATAGCTGCCATTTTGACTTTTTTGACCCAATGCCCTATCTGATGGACAGATATGTAAAGGTCTTTGTCCCCCACATATGATTGTAAAAAGGAGGAAAGTGATAGTGGGCAATGATATTTTATATGGCCTATAGGACATTCTCATGGGGGGCATATTCATATAATTCATTACCAGTTTGGAATTGATTAAGGTTTGAGTTCAGCCTTAAGATATTACAATCTATGCTATATATATAAGGTGACCAACTGTCCTCCTTTAGGGAGGACAGTCCTCCTTTTGTAGGTTCTGTCCTCCCTCAAAAAGTGTCCTCCTTCATGTCCTCCTTTTCGATATTTGAAGACTAATCTGCAGGGCTTTTTTTTCCCTCATAGAACGCTCAGAACGGCGTCCGGGCACCTTTTTTTGATGGTTTTTTTTTTCAACTTTTGCATGAGCTGTGCTACTCCCACTATTGGCTTTCAAAAGCCAATAGGAATTGCTGCTGAGCGCGCCAAAACACCCGGCTGGCAAACTTTGCACATGCAAGTTGTCTGTATTATTGTTGCAATGAATACAATGTTTCTTTTATTTACGATATTTTTTCTTCAATTTATTTGTGTCCTCCTTTTCATTGTAAAAAAACTTGGTCACCTTAATATATAGAGCTTGAATTTTTGCAAGTTTATTGATGAATCTGAGCTATATAGTCCATCTGCTTATTTGCAGGACAAACTGTCCACCATTTAGCTGGTGAATTCTTTTAGAAATTATTATTGTTATTCATACTTCTTAAAAGACTAAAAAAGAGAAACAAGTGAAGGAAAAAGAATAAAAAAAATTGATGCAGAATATTAGTAGGTAGACACAGAGGCCAGTGAGGGTGTTACCGTTAGTGCTCAGTATAACTTTGATGGAAAATTCACCATAAAAAAGAATATATTAGGATAATTTCTGAGTTTCCACTATTTTGTTAGTGGAGCTGTGGTAGAATGCAGTATTGAACGCTAATTCTCCTGACTGCTGACTGTCAGCATTTTGGCAGTTCGATTTTCATCTGCTCAAGATTGACCCAGCCTTCCATCCTTCTGAGGTCAGTAAAATGAGGACCCAGATTGCAGGGGGCAATATGCCAACTCTGTAAACCGCTTAGAGAGGGCTGTAAAGCACTGTGAAGCAGTATATAAATCTAAGTGCTATTGCTATTGCTAGAGAAGAAGAAAAAGATAGAAATAAGAAAAATTACTGAAACCATTACAGGAAAATGTTTAATTTTAACTAGGCCTTTGTTATAGTCCAACTGATATATAATTCTCTTCCTCAATTACCGTATCCTGATTTTGAGGGTTTTTAATTCCTTGATATCATAGAGGAAATAATGTCTTTTCTTTTTTATGATTGCTTATGAATAGAAGATGAAATTTGTCTTTCTTTGCTTTTAAACATTTGCCTCTGTTATTAAATATATTTCATGTTTTAGCACTTCCATGAATATGATGCTGATGGAAATGCCATAATTACAAAAAAAGATTTGAAGGACGTTCTCTATAGATGTGGTATCCCCATAAACCCCAAAGAATTTGAAAAACTTTGGACAAGGTAAGGCTTTATTAATAATATCCTTCCCGCATTACCTGTAGACTTTAATACAAGTCAAGAAAAAGAAATCTCTACTTTTTTTGAATTACTACTCTCTATGATGTCTATGGTTTAATCTGTACTTGCCTGATTGATTTACACTTCCATAATAGACCCAGGACACTATTTTTGGAGATTAGAAACAACTGATGTGATTATCTATGTCAATCCCCCGCTCTCCATTGATGTGACCTCAGTCTATGTTTTTCTGCTTTGCTTATGAAGAACACATTTTTGTTAGTTAGGCTTTCTGTAGTAATACTTTTGTGATAGTTGTCTCCAGTTTGTGGTAGGCTAACCCCAGAAGTTCATTGTCTGCATTGCACAGCAACAATGTCCCTTCAGTTGAGTCATTATTTACTAGTGTGTAATACCTTTCATAGCTTTCTTGATTCAAAACCTAACAAAAAAATAATTTTTTAAAAAATTACTATTGTGTTTTCCCTGATCATCCTACTTTTTCCTACTATTGTTTTTTTTAGATGCACTATTTCAAAATGCAACACTGTGCTTTTTTAAAAAGCACAATCAGTAGTGGAGTACTTAGGGAAAGAACAATGGAAATTTTACAAAAGGCACATTTTTACCAAGGGTTGAACCAGGAATTTTCTGTTTACAAGGCAAGAGTAATAGCTATTGTGTTATTATGATAAGGGATAGCCAGTGGCAAGGATCACTAATGCTTTAGAAAGATATAGGGCAGTAATACAGATTTGTTTTTTTAAACTTGTTTGTCATGCCATGCATATTTGGTCTTTAACTTTGTATATATAAAATTAGCGTTGTATATATGTAAATATAGATGCACAAATGAACGCAAATAGTTGTATATATTTATAGGGAAATAGAACGAAAAATATGAAATTTCAGTCTGGATGAAATTTTCTTGAGCCAGCTCAGTGTTAAGCTAGCATGAATATAGATTTGGAGCAGTTTAACCAGTAAGTCAGTGGTAGGATTCAGCCAGTTCGCACCAGTTCAGCAGAACCGGTGGCTAATTTTTTGTTGCCCAGGCCCAAATAGACTTCCAGAAGCAGCATCCACACAGGTTGTTCACATATTTGAATTCCACCACCGTAGTAAGTGTAGAAATGATGCTGTTTCTGGGTAAAAGGACCTACTGAAAATAGCCATTTCCACACAGTTTCTGGAACTGTATCTACCTTTACAACTTCCCAGTATTTCCCATGTTAATAACGATCATTTAGCGTTACTAAGCAATTGTTAGGGCTGGTCATCCTATATGCTCAAAAGCCTGTTTTAAGTCATATACTTACCTGGCTTATTCCAATGCATGTAGCTTTTTATCCAACCATTTGCAACTCAAGAAAACCCAGCTAAGCCGGAGGTTAATTGGCTCTTTGGAGACTACATGCTCAAAACCCATTAACAGCATTCACATATTTGTTTTAAAACAAGCCAGAAACAAGGATATTTTCTAAACTTTTAAAGTAACTCTTGCTTGCACCTCTGTAGACTGGGATACAAAAGAAACTATGAATAAGTCTTAAATTCACTAATAAAATGTGTACTTTTTACTAAGGCTGGATGAAATTTCAGTGTACAATTATGAATCTATTAAGTGGGTCCATCACTGTGGAACATTGAATATCATTAGTTGCTTTTGACTTGATGTTGCTATTTGAGGATTTTTTTTTGCGCACATAAGCACATTGTATTAATTTACTAACATTTAAATAATTAAATTTAGTTTTGTCCTGACTTCTCCATCTCTGCCCAACTCTTCAAAGCACAAAATAAAAATAACTTTAAAATAACAAGTGATCCTAGAATCTATTTTATCAGGGCCTCTATAAAAACAAAGCACAGGGATAGGTAGAAGGCTCGGGAAAGGAACAACAGTAATAAAAACAATAATAGTGAAAACATATTCACAATTGGAGAAAATTTGCCAGGGTTTGAACTAGGAACCTTTTCTTTAAAAGGCAAGAGTTGTAGCTATTGTTTTATTATAGCATTCATGATAAGGTAATAAAAAAATAATAGAAAAACAATGCACTTTTCTAAAAATAAACAGGGTTAAACTATCCTTTCAAATCTCCAAAATAATGCAAAATCAAGGAGAATAAGATATAAAATGAGTAAAACACAAAGAAAGCCAATATTTGCGGAAATCTTTCTCTATCAAACTTTCATTGAGAATATCTGGCATCAAACAAAGCCCAAATATGTAAAATAATAGTTTTAAAATAACATTTTAAATAATTATTTTAGGTTCCTAGCTGAAAGGTTTGTTAGCATATACAGAGATGCTATCAGGGAATGTCAAAAAAAAAAGTCAAAATAGATTCCTCGGTGATAAAATTAAAATTTTCAATGTGTGGCCTAGATTTTTGCACAATGCATGTAAAAAGGGGGCTAAACTTTGCATAGATGGACCCACATCTTGATCTTTTTTTGCACCGCTGTGTATTCCTGTGACAGTAAATGTGGTAAATTATTTAATATTTCAAAATAGAAAAATGAGACTTTCTGCCCTAAAAACTAATAAAGTAACCTAGCATCCTCCAGATCTGCTTATGCTCCTAAAATTCTTTCTTTCAGCAGAAATTTGTCTTTGAAAATAGAAGTTAAATGGATTGTTCTGTAAAAACCATTTTGTGTTTTGCTTCTTAAAAGAGTCTATGGTTAATACTCAAAGGTACACTTTGGAGTGTTCTGAGAGTGTGGTTTATTTCCTTGCACAGATGTACCATGGAATTAGTTTCTACCCAACTGGCTTTCAATTTCTCTTTTTATTCTATAAGAAATCCCACAAAATCATGTCTTTGGCATTAAATCATTGCGTTATACCTTAGATCTCTTAAAAAACAGCACTCAGCTTCCCATGTGACTCAGTAAAGTTATTGAAATCAATACGGCAATACTTGGGAAGTGAAAAATAATGGAAATTAAATACCTATAAACAACAAGAATAACATATAATATAATATTAAAGCGTAAAATTACCTTGCTACTTTGGAAAATTGGAATGAGGCTCATACAAGATGGTTACTTAAGAAGATATATATTATGTACATAACCTTGCCTAAATGTTTAAGCAATTTCAAGTCTGAATTTTAAATTAATGGAAATTGTTATATCATATAAGCAGTGCTTTTTTTAAAAAGAATTTTCCTTTCCCAGAGATCTCGGCCTCTGATTTGTTTGCCAAGTGATGCCTTTCCAGAGGTTTTCTGAGGCTACTATTTATCTGGCTATTAGTTACAACACATCTTTTCTCAAGGAGCTCAGTATGTTCTTTTGTAACAACATGGCCTTCATTTTATTGCTATAGTAGTTGCCCTGTGGAATTGGTTAGGCCAAAAGATAATGCCTGTCCAGACTCCCCCACAGAGTTTCTAAGGCCAAAATTTCCCCAGTCTTTATCCAACAGCTTAATGACAATCCCAAACACACTAGGATACATAAGGGCCAGCACCAAAGACAAAAGTAGCTCACAACAATAAAAAAATGAAGAAACAAAAAAAGAAGTTTAAGCAAAGCAAGAGTAAAATAATAGAACAATAAAACAAACAAGGAAAAAGAAAAATAAGAAATTATGTCTAGATACGACTAGAATGCAGATCAGTGTGAAGGTTATTAGCTTAACAGTGAACAGCAAGACAAAACTGTCCCCTGTGGATATCATCTCCTTTCTTTGTGCTATTCCAGAGATAAATAGTGATTATGCAAAGTGCACACTTAACAAATGGACCATGATCCATTTCTTATGGCAAATCTTATATTCTCCTCCTCCATCCTAATTTTGCAGTAAATATTCATAAGAGGAAAATCAAATTGTGGTTGACTATATTTCCTAGAAATCGTTCCTATGACTATTATATAAAGCATAATATCTTAGTGAAACATTTCCTTTTCTGACATAACTTGCATATTTTTCATGCAGCTGTGTAACACTGTTCCTAAACCATGCATAGACAATTCAAGATTCCGTTACATAAAGGGCCAATAAAGCAATTAATAAACAAAACAACTTTGTCTTCTCTGAACTTTTAAAAGGTATGATCTGAATGCAAAAGGCTACCTTACTCATCAAGAATTCCTACAAAAAATGGGGGTGGAGAATATACCTCCTGACAGTGGCTTGAATAAGCAGTTTTCAGCTGATAACTATCCACACTTTATGGACCCTTACAAAAGAGAGGAAAAGAAACACATTGACATCAATGAAATCATAAATAAGATCAGGTAACTAATTTTCTTGATCACTATTCTTATACATATGAGTTGAAGACGAATGTGGACCAATTAGGTCATTTTATTGGGGTCGCGATGGGTCGGACACGACTTCGCAATTAACAACAATTGGTTTTTTGGAAGCCCCTTCAGGTGGCTTTGTATGTTACTTTAATGGTGAAGCAAGCCATTAATATTTCTGTTGTTATTTCAGTCAGGGCAACGACAGTATTTGATATTTTTTGGGTGCCTTCAATCAGTTTTTCATTCCTGGTGACTGCCTGGACTAGTCCCTGCAGTTCTCTTGGCAAGTTTTTCAGAAGTGCTTTACCATTGTTTGGTTCCTAGGACTGGAGAAAGAGTGGCTGGCCCAAGGTCATCCAGCTGGATTTGTGCTTTACCCACTATACCAAGCTGGCTCTCATTTCATAGTTACCTTAGAATAACAGACTCCAGTTTGCCAGTCCAGATATTGTGTACTATGTATAGGTTTGTATTTTCAGTTGACAGAAATCAGTATATCAAACATATAATTGAAAATAATTTTGTTTCTGCAGTCCTGATGCAGACACATTTCCTTGGGAATAAGCCTTATTTTGCTGAAAAAGAGGTTAAAGTCAATCTGTGTATATACTATTAAAATTCTGATTCCTATAACTTTTAACTGTGCATTATAGAGCAAAACATTTTGAACCAAACTACCTCAAATGAGCTAACTTACAGAATCCTTCCAAAATCCAGGAACCACAACTCCCATGGAAATGAGATTTGACATTTTATGGCATAAAACCAAACATGTCATAAAACATTTCCTCTGCTATGCTAAATAGTTCAGCATGGGCTATTTTCAAGGCAGATACATCTCTGAATGTATCCCAACTTTTCCAGGGAAGGAAATACATTAGAAGTTCTGCCGTTGTTGAAGGCATGGCGGAGTGTGGTAATGTATTTATGAAACAATGGCCCAAGGGAATTGTCTATTGTTTCTTAAAGAATAAAATGAGCCTCTGTAAATATGTGTACACTGAAGCCTGCCTAAATTTTCTCAGACCCTCATTTCTGAATATCATTTGCCTTAAATTACTTGTCTGCTTGCAGTGTTTGTTCAACTGTCATCTGTCTCTATAATTCTTTAGTTTTCTATCTCTTTTCTCTCTGCATCTCTATCTAATAACCATTCCTCTGATGGCCATTCTCACAGAAAGAAAGGTTCTAGATTTCCCCATTCCTAGAAACATTATTGTAAGTATACTTATTTCTGTCAATTCTGTTTTTCAACCTCAGCAACTATGTGGATGCCTTCACTTCAACTCCCAGAATACCCCAGCCGGCATGACAGCTGAGGAACTGGGAGCTGAAGTTAATAATAATAATAAATGATAAAGTTGGAAGGGACCTTGGAGGTCATCTAGTCCAATCCCCTGCTCAGGCAGGAAACCCTATACCATTTCGGACAAATGGCTGTCCAGTTTCTTCTTAAAAACTTCCAGTGTTGGAACATTCACTGCTTCTGGGCAACTCCAGGAGCTGAGTCCACATACATGTTAAAGTTGCTCAGGTTGAGAAACACTGATCTAAAAGAAGGTCAAAGATAGGGACTTCTCCAGAGAGATTTAAGAATCTATTCTGCCTGATCCTTCTCTGATCCAATAGCCTCCATTTGTTTCTCTAAGAATTTCCTGGAAACATGGCTGGCACCAACTTGAAGAAAGTTGGTTTAAATCCATTAGATGTTATATTTTTCTGTGTGATATCTATTGGGGTAAATTTTTCCTCCACCCTCCCTATGAGTATGGCACCAAAACAATCCAAAGCAATTGATATAATTGGTGGCTACCTTTTAATGATACCCATATGTCATTGTCTCTTCTGCTTCATATATAACTACAAAACCAAAATTTGGCTACCTTATTCTCCTTCATTGAAGATGGCAAAAACAAAGAGGAGACTCCCTAAATCATTTTAATAGTTTTTGTTGTTCTACACTACAATGGACCTTCCTTCATTCTGCTTCTATAATACAGAAAAACTTTCTGTAAATTGCTGTTCTTTCCATTCTGCCCAAATGTTTTATAAAATATGTTTCTTAGCTTATAGTCTGCTCAGAATTCATCTGCTAAAGACTTCTGAGAAACTTTGAATTCAAGAAAGAGGCAATCTGGATGTATATATTTTTCTTTTGTTTTAGCTCACTCAAAAGGAACAAATACCCCAAATTAGAAACCTTTAAAAAGGGATTGTCCTGTATTTCAAGAGAAAATTCAAAACATTGGCAAGTGAAGTGATTTTTAAGAAATATGTTTTGTTTTGACAGCCTGGCTAAATCCATAGTTTTCAACATATACTTTGTACTTGGGATTTAAATTTTTATTTTTAGCCATGATTGGAATAATTACTATTGGCAACCATTTACTTGGTCCAAGAAATGTCTAAATGTCTTGATTTTCTAAAAATAAGGAGAGAAAGTAGATTGTGATTACCTTTTTTTCATTTTTAGCATGTACTAACTAGAAGATAGTTTTCAGTCAATGCAGCCAGCATTGCAACTGCTTAGGCAGGTCTCATGCATCCAAAAGGATACAGGAGTCTTGCTGCTGATGTCATATTGCAGATTCATATGGTATTTTAAATCAGCATTCCCTAACTTTTCTGGCTTTGCAGACCCGGGGGGGGGAGAAGAGGGGATGGTTCCACGCGAATGGTGGGCAAGTGCATGCGCGCAGCTCCATTGGTGCAAGTAGCAGTCATGTGGGCCTGCCACTTGCACCAATAGAGCTTTGTGCACGCGTGCATGCTTCTCATGCAAATGCAGCTGCGCGCATGCGGGCATGCTCACCCAATATTCCTGTGGTCCGGGGGTTGGGGACCCCTGTTTTAAATCTTAAGATACGGTTACAAATCAGAGTTCACTATTGTTACGGAAGGTGCTTCTCAGTTTTTATTAGTGTACTTTCACATCTCCAGAACATCTTTAGACAAGTTGGGGACAAAATAAGGACATTGCTACATCTAAGGGACTTGAAGAGGATTAAGGTAGTGTTTCTTAATCATGGCTGCTTGAAGATGTGTGGACTTCAATGCTGGCTGGGGAATTCTGGGAGATGAAGTCCACACATCTTCAAACAGCTATAGTTGGGAAACATTGCCTTAAAGTCTGCAGATGCTGATGGTCACAAAAAATCGACAATTTGGAGAGACATGGATAGGTTCTCCACCGGGGTCGGTGAAAACCATACACCCCAGGGATGTTTCGGGTCACACCGAGAACTCGGTTAACTTCAACATGTGGGGACTCACTGTCCTGACGTGTATACTCTTCGGTAGAAACGTATCGGGTAGTCATAAAAGGAATACAGATTACACACTACCTAAGGTAATGTGGAGAATAGGAGTTTGTCTCGTCACTAGGTGAGGTCATTATAGAAATTATGTAATGTATGTTACTTGTGGAATGACATTAGCCTCTATTGAACACTATGTAAACTCACCACTGCTGTAAATTTGAGGCATGCCTATCTAGAGCTCATTTCATCATCTCTTGGACTGCCATGATATAACCATTTTCCACTGAAGTTGTACGATACACAAAGACTGTGAGGAAGAAAAACTGTTTTTCTGCACTTCTGGTGCTTTGAATGGTCTTCTCTGCATTCACATAACAAAACTTACCCTGCTTCCTCCTTCCATATGCCCGTTTCTGCCAATACGGTTTGTTTTTTTCCATGCAGTTCTGGGAAACGGAGAGAAAAAGCAGGAAAGAAACTCAGGAGCACATATAATAATAATGATAAAGTTGGAAGGGACCTCGGAGGTCATCTAGTCCAACCTCCTGCTGAGGCAGGAAACCCTATACCATTTCGGACAAATGGTTGTCCAGTTTCTTCTTAAAAACTTCCAGTGTTGGTGCATTCACTGCTTCTGGAGGCAGGTTGTTCCACTGGTTAATTGTTCTAACCGTCAGGAAGTTTCTCCTTAGTTCTAGGTTGCTTCTCTCTTTGGTTAGTTTCCACCCGTTGCTTCTTGTCCTGCCTTCAGGCGCTTTGGAGAATAGCCTGACTCCCTCTTCTTTGGGGCAGCCCCTGTCTATAACCTTGTGACGATAGTACAGGGTTTTGAGAGGTAGTCGAGATCTTCTAAAATTCTTTCCGTCTGACTGTGTTTTGGGTTTACCCATTACACATCTATTCGTGAACCGCTCGGTGGTGGGGTTCGTTCGAATCAAAAAATTACCGACTGGTACAGAGTAAGTGTGTTCGAGCTGGTCCGAAGGGTTAAGTGTTCGAATCTGCTATAATGCATCTAAACTTCGTAGCTGAGGAAATAGAGCTTATTTTTAACGAGAAAATGTGACTGAAACTTGGCTTGTTTTCAGAGAGAAGTATCATGAGTTCTCCCAAGACTTCCACAAGGCCTTCTTGCAACAGGATAAACATAAAGAAGGCTGCATATCGGTGGATAACCTACGTAAGATACTGGAAGACTTTCAGTGTTGCCTTGGCTATGAACAGTACAGTGAACTTCTGTACAGGTTGTTATATTTGACACCGCTTTAATGGAATTAGACTTATTTATAAAATAGACCATCTGTACAATCAGCAGGCTAAGAACTTGGTCCAGACTACACTCATGATATCTGTATCTGATGGATTTCATTGCATAGAAGAGTGTTTCTTTACCTTGCTAACTTGAAGATGTATGGACTTCAACTCCCAGAATTCCCCACACATCTTCAAATTGCCAGGGTTGAAACACCCTGGCTTAGAGAATTAGACCATCAGTTATTTGTTGTTGTTTTTTTGCCTTCCAACTCAATTATTAATCTACCGGTTTATTCATCTTTCATAAAAAGAACTGGAATATATTATTTCATTAATAGATTAACGTGTGCCATAAATATTTGGTAACTGTGCATGCATTTATTACCTTTGTCTTACAGACATATCTGCAATTTCAGCAAATCGCTGAAATTGTGTTCAAGGCCTGCAACAAGTTAAATATCTAAGAAAGCAATCAAATTACCTTTTAATTTAATTTCGTGACTGATTTTTACACATACTGCACAAAAGCTGAAGAAGGAAACAGTCTCAAGTATTTGGGAAAGTTCCAGAGAGTATGCTTTTGCCTACTGTGGTTGGTCTGATAAGAAATACTCTTTTTATTCCTCGTTTCCTGAGACCACACAGTAATAATAATCTGTTCTTAAACTATTGTGCAAATACATGCATTTTGTATAGCACAAGGACATGAAGCTTTTTGTGTGAGCCCAAGGACTCTGTAATAGTTAATTGAGGCAAACAACACAAAGGAACTGTTAAAAGTAAAATACACTTACCTTTCTAAGCTAAAGTAGGCTTAAGATGGCATAAATTATACAAGAATATGAGATTCAGGCAAATTTCATTCCCAAAGGAAAGGAGTGAAATTCCAAAGAAGTATCTTTTATTCTGCTTTTAGAAAAATGACTGGGAAGAGAAGCCAAACCTAAACAAAAATCTTTTCACATTACCTTAAATCAAGTGATTATGCTCCTTTGAATTAAGCTTGTAATAAGAATTTTTGCTGCATGCTCTTTTCCTCAAAGACTTTTTGATGATAAATACTTCCATTCATTGTAATTTTTTTGCAAACTAGTCCTTTCTAGACCGAAAAGAGCTTTTTCTCTCCAGCACCCTGCCTTAAATAATAGAGCAGATTAGCATATGCATTTGGTTTTATTACTCAAATGTTAATACCGACTTGGCAATTTATTCCTCCCACTGATGTGTGTTGATTATTTCCTTTCCCACTGTTTCTCTGGTATTTGAGCCAGCTTGACACAGGCCTATGTAAGCATTGCAGCTGCAAGAGGCAAACACAATGCTCTCTAAAGGGCTGTGGGGGGCTCAGAACTGCTGATATTGGGGGGCTCTATGTTCTGTCGCTTTCATCTTTTTTTTGCATTTTGGCACCTCTTCATTAAAATGGTTTCCCACTCATCTAATATGCCATTCTGGCAATGATCATTTTCAAAAGAGTACTGCGTAACTGCCTTTCAGTGAAAACCAAATAAACAAAAATATGCCGTTGAATTGCTGGTCAATGCAATCAATATAGCATAAGGAAAAAAGTGAATGCAGTCTGGAGTGATGATGCCCTTAAGTCAAGTCTGCCTCCAGGAGAATACATGATATCCCCGTAAAGGTTGGGGTATCATTTGGAGGTTATGTTTTTCACCTCGAGCCTAAAGTTCTGGGATTCCCTGGTGGTGTCCCATCTGTGTGTTAACTAGGTCCAGTCTTCCTGTTGCCAACAGTTATCAGAAAGCCAATTTCAGGGTCATGTATCTTAGATGGATTTCCCATCTATTATGGTGACTTGCACTTCTTGGATTTCCCACTTCAGGATGGGGTGTCTTGCCCAACTGGTTCAAAGTCATGCAGTCAGCTTCCATGCCAAAGGGGGGGACTAGAACTCATAGCTTCTTGGTTTCTAGCCCAGCATCTTAGCCCCTACACCAGGGGTAGGCAACCTTGGCCCTTTTATGACTCGTGGACTTCAATTCCCAGAATTCCTGAGCCAGCCATGCTGGCTCAGGAATTCTGGGAGTTGAAGTCCACGAGTCATAAAAGGGCCAAGGTTGCCTACCCCTGCCCTACACCAACTTTTCTCAACCTCAGCAACTTTAAGATTTGCAGACTTCAACTCCCAGAATTCCCTATCCAGAATGGAGAATTCCGGGAATTGAAATCTGCACATCTTAAACTTGCTGAGGTTAAGAAATCTGCACATCTTAAACTTGCTGAGGTTAAGAAACATTGCCTTACACCAAACTGGCTCCCAGTTTAATGAACAACTTATCTTTGGATCCAGCCTTTAGTCACTGAGATACTATAGGTCAGTGGTGGCGAACCTATGGCACGCATGCCAGAGGTGGCACTCAGAGCCCTCTCTGTGGGCACGTGTGCCATCGCCTCAGCCCCGCCTTCCCCGCTGCTCCCCAGCAGCCCCCAGGAGGAGAGTCACCCCCAGGTGCGGCTTGCGCGGAGCAGCGCAGCCAAGAACATGGAAGCCGGTCAGACTTTAACAAGACTCTGCTTTCATGCCCCGTCATGCGCAGATGATGCTGCAGGGTGTGGGCGGAGGGCATGGCCGCCATGGCGCTGCTGGCCACCTGGGAGATCTGCGGCGGACCATGGAGGCGGTGGTGGCCCTGCGGGCAGGCCAGGGGTAGATCAGGGGGCAGGGTGGGGGTGGGAGTGGGGCAGGATCGGGGCGGGACGGGTGTTGGACATTCGGTCTCTAAAAGGTTCGCCATCACTGCTATAGGTACTTAAATTTAGATTCAATTCTTCCCATTTTCTCTAGGATTTTTATCCAGCATCATATTCCAGAATATATGCAAGACAGAAATTCAAAAGCTAAACAATCAGATTAAATATATGCAAATAGATAATTGCTTATTTCCTAGTATTGTAGCCGAGCACTAAGAAAAACAAAAACAAAGCACAGCCTTCAGCTGGCAGGCAAGAGATAGATATCATTGCCAGTGCTAGCTAGCCATTTTGCAGCCCTCAGACTACATCAGAACTGCTACTGCATTATTAACCATGATTTTAGAAATAATATTTGGGAAATCTTCAGTCTTATTTTTCCCTCCTCAGTTTAGGAATTCATATAGCGGAGAACAAGCTCTCGTATTTTGATTTTCTGAGAGTTATTGATGACCGCGCAGCATTCAAATACAAGAAAAGGCATACTGTGCCCCCTGTACCGCCAATCAGCTTTGTGCAACTCAGCATAGATGAAGCCATGGCTAAAATAAAAAAAATGGTTACGGATTCTTCTGATTTGCTGTACAAGGTGAGTACTGTGTAAATGGCTTCCGTGCTCACTGCCCACATGGAGAAGGAGAAAATTTTGTGATCCAACTTGTGTTTCAAGGAGACACCAAGCACATAGAAAACTTACAATGCCTTTACAAAAACTTTACAATGCCTTGGTAAGGCCACACTTGGAATACTGCATCCAGGTTTGGTCACCACGATGTAAAAAAGATGTTGGCACTCTATAAAGAGTGCAGAGAAGAGCAACAAAGATGATTACGGGACTAGAAGCTAAAACATATAAAGAACAGTTGCTGGAATTGGGTATGTCTAGTTTAACGAAGAGAAGGACGAGGGGGGACATGATAGCAGTGTTCCAATATCTCAGGGGCTGCCACAAAGTAGAGGGAGTCAAGCTATTTTCCAAAGCGCCTGAAGGCAGGACAAGAAGCAACGGGTGGAAACTAACCAAAGAGAGAAGCAACCTAGAACTAAGGAGAAACTTCCTGACAGTTAGAACAATTAACCAGTGGAACAACCTGCCTCCAGAAGCGGTGAATGCTCCAACACTGGAAGTTTTTAAGAAGAAACTGGACAGTCATTTGTCCGAAATGGTATAGGGTTTCCTGCCTGAGCAGGGGGTTGGACTAGATGACCTCCAACGTCCCTTCCAACTTCTTCTTCTTCTTCTTCTTCTTCTTCTTCTTCTTCTTCTTCTTCTTATTATTATTATTATTATTATTATTATTATTATTATTATTATTATTATTATTATTATTATTATTATTATTACTACTACTACTACTACTACTACTACTACTACTACTACTACTACTCTGCCGGGACAATGCATAAAAGGATTCCAGAAATGGTCCCAAGAAGGTGGTCCCGGGTGCAAGGTTGTGGGTTTCTATTGTGTCTAAGAAGCAGATCCATTTCTCACCCTATCACAGGATGGTGCCTTCTCAGACATGGAAGTCCCCACTGAATCCTGGACAAAAGAGATATTCATAGCAGCTTTCCTTGGGGAAGACCACCCAGGGAGACACAACCATGCCCGTCAGACTATGAAAACACACATTACTTCTAAACAGTTGTTAGAGTAATAACTTCAGCTTAAGGCCTAAATTTGTGGTGCTTATGATGTTCTGATCCTGTTGAGCCATTTCATTGCTAAGTTTCCCAGTTCATGAAAACCAATTTGGGGTGGGGAAGAGAACAAGTTTTTAATTCAGATTGTGTCATGTTGAACCAAAAATTGAAAGTGATGACTCGGAGCCCTTCCTCTTAGTTCAGTAAAGGGATGCTGTGTGTTTTGCATTTGGTCATTAGTTCAAAAATGGATGGAATCTGTCTGGAAAATCTGGAAGATTTTCTTCCCTTTGTTACAAGATAACATAAAATCTGAAAACTATGTTATGCAAAGCGTTTATTGAGGCACCATTAGAAGGCAGAAGCATAGTGTATCAAGCATAGTATATCAGCTACTTCATTACCATATATCTTACACATGCGCGCGTGCACACATACACACCATCTACCAAAAGAAAGAAAGAGAAAGAAGTGAGATTTAAAGCATAGAATATAGAATCATAGCACTGGAAGGGACCTTGGAGGTCTTCTAGTCCAATCCTCTGCTCAAGGTAGGAACCTTGTACATGTTTGACCTCTCCTCTAAACTTTAGTTAAGCTTTCTGGCTTTGTATCATCGGCTGATGATACATAGACCCTTACCCTTCAGCTAAGACAGAATAAAAATATTGGTAGGATAGAACTGTAGGGCATTCTACTCAATACTCGCCTCAACCTGATGTTACAACCTAATTTCTGGTTGTGGTCGTTCAGCCAATTATGAATTCATCTACAATACTAGCCTATACTTTACTATTTCATTCATGAAGATATCAAATTATTTGCCAAGGCCAGGGGTACCTCATGACATTCTTTCATTTATTAAGCTAGCAACTCTGTCAAAAGGGAATATAAGATTAGTTGCAATGACTTGTTTGTGGCTCTTATTAAGGGTTGTATTCCTAACTAAGGGCTCACAAATATTCAGTTTAAAATCTGTTTGAGGATCTTGCCTAGAGGAGACATCAACTTCCCAGGTCTTCATTCTTCTTCTTTTTGAAGATGGGGATCACATTTGTTGTCCTTTAGTCTTCTGGGACTTTTCAAAGATTACCAGATGCAGCTCTGCAGTCACCTCTGCTAGTACTTGCCATGTTATTCAGCTGTTAAATTATCTGTGTCCTCTCCCTTTCCTTGTCTTTTCTGAGCTGCAATTCCATCTTACTTTCAGGCACTTTGGATCTTCAACCAGTTCCTTCTTGTTGGTGAGAGTTAGGTCCAAGACAATAGTCCTCCCCCCCCCCTTATTTCTTCCTCCATCTTTTAACAAAGAAAGTTGTCAGCAAGGAAAACCAGAATTTATTGGACCCATGACTTTTGGCAGACGACATTTTACAGATTTTCCCCATCCTGTACTTCAGTCACTGGCATAGGAAGGCCTGGTCTACCTGGATGGAATAAACTCCCACAACAATATCCCTTTTGTTCCCATTTAATGACACACGGGATTTTGTTTTTATTTATGTGCAACAGAATAGTTCAGTAATTTGTTTTCACACTCTAATATTTGTTTAAGTCCCCAGTGTATATATGTTTGTATGTATATGGCTATACATTGTTAGGGCTGTGTAAGTTTTCAAAGGGAAGCTTGCTTCAACCGAGATTCATTTAGAGGCCCTAAAAATGATATGGAGTTGCTTGGCATTCTCCTGTAAGGTTTTCCACTTAGCCTCACAATTGCCCCAGCATTACTCAGGAATTTAAAAGAGCCAAAGAAACTCCTGAGCCGAGATTTCAGCAAGCAAACAACTTTTATTTTGATCAAAATAGAGTTGGGTGACCCCATCTCTCTTTGTGGCTGGTAGAGAGATGAAGGCAACAACCAGAAAAGATGTCTTCCACCTTTTATACCTTTCCAGAACAAAAAGATCAGGTCTTGGTACTAGGCATAAGATGGCACAAAAAAATAATTCCTAGATGATGACTCATACACAGCAACCCAGGCTCCATCTGTAACTCAACCTTAAGCATAATAAAATCCCTTCACTGTGATGTCTCCTGAGCAGGGGGCAGGCTGTCCAGACTGGGCACCCTTTGTGACATGCCAAAGACCTTCCAAACTAGTGCACCTCAGCACATGGGAATCCTGCAGCATGTGCCATCTCTGCATGGCCTGAAAGCACTTCAGCCATTGCTGGGAGAGAAGACTGAGGGAAGCTCCTACAGCTTTGACATGCCACACACCATCAAGCAAGTCATCTTGCTATTCCATTGGCACCCACAGGGCTGAATGTTAGAGTAGGCCCAAGCCACCCCTTCTGGTGAGAGAGAAGTTCTCTGAGGATGGGCTCCAGCACAAGTCTGGAAACTTGGAAGACTAAACCTCTGATCCCGATGACTGACCCAGATTGGATCCTGCAACATTATTCTGGGACACATGCATTTGACTTCATTCGTGGACCCAAGTTGCTTTGCACAGGCCTATACACCTGCCAGGAGGCTTGTGCTCACAGACAACGGGACAGTTAACACGAATCAATGCAATGTCCAAATGAAATGAATGGATGTTTAATCCACACATGTTTAGAAATGCATACCAGAAAGTTCCCCTGCTGTTCAAAGCTCTCTCCATCTTTCAAGGAAAGCCCAGTGCTCTCCGGCTGAGTTGGTTGCTATAGGCAACGGTTGTAAACAGACATTCCCCCACCACCACCAGGCGAAATAATCCTGCAGGGAGAAAAAGCTGTTTAAACCAGCTCAGTTCATAAAGTGCTGGGATGAGAATTCACAGGGAAGTTCTTTGCACAATTTGGTATGTTTGCATATATGTTGAAGCAAGGAAGGTGGCATGCTCTCTCCTATTCTTAACATTCTGTATGAGCTTTTCTACAAAGAAATAAGATCGTCCCAAACCAGCTTCTTCTTCTTCTTCTTTAGCTGCTATGCTTGTTTCTCCCCCACAGGCCTTCTCTGCTTTCGATAAGGACCGCACTGGGACAATTTCAACCCTTGATTTCCGGCAGGTGCTGCACCATTTCTGTTTCACACTTTCAGAGAAGCAGTTTAACCATCTTCTGAAACTGCAGCGGCTTCGTGGCGAACACTCCATTGACTGCTTTATAAAGGACGTTTTTAAGTTGGAGGAGAGTCTCCATTCTTACAGCCAAGTGAGACGACATGCACCCTTCCTTCTCGTCACCTTCGTTGACCCCGTCCCTGTCAAAATAAACCGTTATCCCTAGGTGCGCAAACTCTTTGATCGCTACAACCAGACAAAGGTTTACCGAACTTTAGTGTTCGTCTTCGTTTTGACTGCTTTGCAACCTTATTCCCTACTTATTCCTTATTGCATCTGCTCTGCTCAGTCTTTCCAATCCAAAGTATGGGGGACGGTGTCCTTAAACTTTATCAAACATTCCCTGGGTTTAAATAAATGGGATGCAATTTGGCTGGATGGGAGGAGAGTGATCTAGGTCGTGTGTATTTGTATGTCTGGGTACGTTCAGGGGAAATCCTCCTATTAATACATCCGGGGGCAAGACCTATTCTTGGAGGACACGTGGAAATGTATTCCTGTCAAAGGGAAACAGATCTCTGGACTCCTTCCTTATTCCAATCTCTTTAAAGCAAGGATACTTTTTTCCGTATTTCATTCACTTGAGTGATTTCCTGCTGAAAGCATCCTAAAAGGCTATACAGCTTCTCACCCCCGCCAAAGACCACTGTACTTCCAAGCCTAAAAACTTGGACATCTATATACTATTAAAACTCTTGTGATTGATTGTTTGTAACCTTCAGTTGGGTGAAACCGTATCACAAGCAACAATTTTTGAATCAACATACTTCAAATGGGCTAACTTACGGGATGCATCCAAAATCAGGGAACCACGGCTCCTGTGGGATTGAAATTTGACAATGTTATGGCTGCTTCAGTGATGCCATACCTCTGTGCTGCCATACTCATGTCAGTGACATTTCCAATGCTCTCTCCCAGAAAAGTCAGTGGAAAATCTAGACCCGCTCCAGTCGGGCTTCAGGCCAGGGTACAGCACGGAAACGGCATTGGTCACACTGGTGAATGATCTCTGGAGGGCCCGGGACAGGGGTTATTCCTCTGTCCTAGTTCTTTTGTACCTCTCAGCGGCTTTTGATACCGTGGACCACGGTATCATGCTGCGGCGCCTGGTGGAGTTGGGAGTGGGAGGTACCGTTATGCGGTGGTTCTCCTCCTTCCTCACCGACCGTACGCAGTCTGTATTGGCAGGGGGACAGAGGTCGACCCCAAGGCCCCTAACTTGTGGGGTGCCACAAGGGTCGGTCCTCTCTCCCCTNGAAATATTTCCTGCAAAAATTCAACCTCCTCTCAGAGGTAAGAATGTCGGTTCACTCTGCTGTACGTGGGAAGGAAGAGCAGTGGAAGCAACTGGGGCAGGGACAGTTTTATTTGGCAATAGGGATCCACGCGTTTGAGAAACTAGCGATGTTGGTCTGTTTCCAAATGGCTTGAAATCACAAGCAGAAGCAAAACTGACCTTTGCAACCTTATTCCCTACTTATTCCCTATTGCATCTGCTCTGCTCAGTCTTTCCAATCCAAAGTATGGGGGGGGGGGGTTGTCCTTAAACTTTATCAAACATTCCCTGGGTTTAAATAAATGGGATGCAATTTGGCTGGATGGGAGGAGAGTGATCCAGGTCGTGTGTATTTGTACGTCTGGGTACGTTCAGGGGAAATCCTCCTATTAATACATCCGGGGGCAAGACCTATTCTTGGAGGACACGTGGAAATGTATTCCTGTCAAAGGGAAACAGATCTCTGGACTCCTTCCTTATTCCAATCTCTTTAAAGCAAGGATACTTTTTTCCGTATTTCATTCACTTGAGTGATTTCCTGCTGAAAGCATCCTAAAAGGCTATACAGCTTCTCACCCCCGCCAAAGGCCACTGTACTTCCAAGCCTAAAAACTTGGACATCTATATACTATTAAAACTCTTGTGATTGATTGTTTGTAACCTTCAGTTGGGTGAAACCGTATCACAGGCAACAATTTTTGAATCAACATACTTCAAATGGGCTAACTTACGGGATGCATCCAAAATCAGGGAACCACGGCTCCTGTGGGATTGAAATTTGACAATGTTATGGCTGCTTCAGTGATGCCATACCTCTGTGCTGCCATACTCATGTCAGTGACATTTCCAATGCTCTCTCCCAGAAAAGTCAGTGGAAAATCCACTGCATTTTTGCCCACCTGTGGTCATTCTATTTCTCTATTTAGATAGGCAAATATCTTTGAGAACAATGACCCAATGATTGTCAATTTTCCATTAATGCGGAGTGGTGTTTTTTATTATAAGTGTTAGCCCTATTTCTTTCCTAATTACATGAGAAATTAACCCTACACAGGCTAGCATTCAGACATCCCTTCAGAGTTCTTCATCTAAGGGAAGACTAAGTTTCCCACCACTTCTGAATTAGACCACGAACCTCAAGAACATGTTCTGAACTTATTAAAGCAAAACCAATAAAAACTCTTTGCTTCCTATACTTGTTGAAATCAGCTGTTCTTTAATCTGACAAATATGCTACCTAAGGCTACTACGGTATAGCTTATTTTGGCTGATCATGAAAAAATATGAAGGATTGGAGGGGAAAATCAAGAAAATATCCCAGAATAAGGCAATGGCAACTTCCTTATTATTGATAAGGAAGCCACATGGGGATGCCTAGATGATTACAAGGAGCCAAACTCACTTTGAATGAATATTTGATGAAGCTAGCTAAACATTTGGAACATGATATAGTAATTTCATGTAATTCATGACATAAATTATATGATTTATATGTCAGATCAAAGCTGACTGTATCAAGTAGATCTCATCCAGACTACAGATTCTACTCCCTTCAGCCACCAACCATTTTGGCTGAAGCTGATAATGCTGAAAGTCAAAAGATCTGGAGATATTTCCATTCAGGAAGGCTGCTATAAAGCAATCTTTCTGGGGTATACCCTAATATACTCTATATGACTTTTTTTTTTTTACCAGTTTAATGATGCAGAATTCAGCCAAATCCAAACTGAATTTACTTAATTGTATTTATTTTATTTAATAACAAGGCTTATTGGCTGCTTCAGTTTGCTGATTTTGAGCAGCAAAGAATTTCCCAAATACATAATTTGGGACTAAAAACAAAGAAGTATATAATCAAATTTAAAAACAAATCATACATCACAGTGGCACATATGAAACAGGGAATTACATTCAGTGCAATAAAAACCAGTTCATCATTCTCCAGGGTGATACTTAAGTAATATTTTAATGTGAAATCTGCTGCCTAATAGAAGACGGAAAGAATAGCCCTTTTCAGCCTTTAATATGATTATTCAGACATTTTTCCTGTTGGGAGATTTGGGGGAACCGGGTAGAATTGAGTTACGGGGAGGATGAAATACGTATTCCAGTTCCATAGCCATTAACACTAATTAGCATAAGTAACAAAAACTGTTGTTGAATAGGATTGAGTGGTATCTTGTCAGCAAAAAATATCTCCATTTTTTTTGGGGGGGGGGGAAGCGTGCTAGGGACAGAACTATGCTAAAATGCCTTTCTGGCATGTTCCCTTCCTACATGTAGAGCAATACATTTTTTAAATAAAATTTAAAAGTTTATTGATGCAATTCCACATGAAAAATATCCTGTTACCAACCACATTGCTACCTCATTGGAATGAATCTCCTTGATGACTTGCTGTTGCCACAGTCCTGGTAGAGGGCAATTTTCTAACACTCTGCGCCTACCATGAAAATAAGGCTGTCCAGACGGATTCAAACACCTTCTCCACTACAGTCTGCTTGCTTTCAGTCTGTTCTAGGACTTAATTTTTTTGGGGGGGAGGTGTTACTGCATAAACCACATCAATTCAAATAAGTATTCATCTTGATTCATAAAAAGGCCAAATCAGGGTGGGGTGGATCTTTCAAGTTACGTTTCTGCATCAGTTTGTGATTTGAAAAATAATCTTCATAAAAGCTGCATGTTTTCTTATGAGGTTCTGCTACATGGGCATTTTATACATATGCAAACCTGGATCAAAAATTTGGGGTAAGTTTGGAGCATAGCTACATTCCCTTTTACGTGTAAATCCAGGAAATGCAAATTAGGAAAGTTTACATTAAAAGCAAACAACTTTTTCCCCCTCCCACTGTTCCCAGTCCAATGGATCCATTTAGGTTTCTCTTCAGGGTGTGGTAAAAAAAAAAAAAGGCAAGATGGCTGCTGCAACAATGTGATTGAAACTCTGCCCGTTTTTTATGTGCCTTGCTAGTAGAACTTAAAGCACAGTCTTGTAATTGCCCTCTAGTGTTTTTTGACCGTACCCTGCAGATGCCTGGATTCATTGCTTAGCAGTAGAAAGTAATAAATGCTACTTAAGAGCCGTGGTGGTGCAGTGGTTAGAATGCAGTAGTGCAGGCTAATTCTGCTGACTGCCAGCAGTTCGATTCTCAGCAGCTCAAGGTTGACTCAGCCTTCCATCCTTCCGAGGTCGGTAAAATGAGGACCCAGATTGTTGGGGGCAACAGGCTGACTCTGTAAACCACTTAGAGAGGGATGTGAAACACTATGAAGTGGTGTATAAGTCTGCTATTGCTATTAAAAGCACTGAGGCCCCAGCAACTCTTAAGAAAGGTTCTAAAGGACTGCACCTTACTGAAACATTGTTTGACACATTTGATTTCATTAATTATCATCTTCTGCCGAACTTATAATCCTTGTTGTTGTTAGTTGCGAAGTCATGTCCGACCCATCGCGACCCCGTGGACAACGTTCCTCCAGGCCTTCCTGTCCTCTACCATCTTCTGGAGTCCACTTAAGCTCATGCTTACTGCTTCAGTGACTCCATCCAGCCACCTCATTCTGTCGTCCCCTTCTTCTATTGCCCTCAGCACAAACTTTTTGAGCACTACCTGGCCTGAAAAAAGTATCGAACAACTTGTCATCACACTTACAACCATCATACCATCCCAGCAGCCATGGGATCAAAATTTGGGCACTTGGCAACTGGCGTGTATTTTACAACGGTTGCAACATCACATGATTGCCATTTCTGACCTTCTGGCAAGCAAAGTCAATGGGGTAAGCTGGATTCGCTTAACAACCATGTGATTCCTTTAACAACTGCAGGGTTCCTTAACAACCATGGCAAAAAAGGTCATAAAATTGGGCATCACTTACTTAACAACCACCCTGGAAATTCTGGCCCCAGCTGTAATCATAATTTGAGGATTAGCTGTATATTTAGGCGTTGTTGAATTTGCAGGTTTTCTTTTCCCCTTGTTGGTACATTATCCACTGTTGCAGTCTGATCAAGGTGAGTGAGATGCATGTTTTAATTAATTGTAGGCGGTTCTGCTCAAGAGCACCAGGTATCAAAAAAGTCAAGATTGTGGGCACAACCATATGATAGAGATAAACCTTTTATGCATGCATCACCTGGCCTTCAAAAGGGGTGGGGTTTCAATCATAGCCATGATCAATATCTGCACTTTATCTTGAATGTCCTGGCTTTGCTCTAAATGAGATGAACCCAATGGGCAGGAGAATCAATTTGCTGCTTATTAAAACCCACGAGTGTTGATTGATTATAAAGCTGGCATCATCACCCTCATAACCTTTTTTCTTTTTAAATGCTCAAGATTATTTTTCATGAGCTTCCATTTGGTATGAGACTCAGTGGGAGGCTGACTTACAAAAGCAGAGTGTATTTTCTGTCTAGTTATAATATCTGTGCAAGTTGGTCAGATTAGTTTGCATATTTATTAAAGTTGTAATGTCATAGTGTCTTTCAATTCATTTTGGTTTTAATTACTTCCAAAGGGTTTCTAGTATATTTGCACTTTTGATGTGTATTTAATTTTCAAGCAAGGTGTGAAGTCACCAAAGGAAGCCAGACAGAGGCGTCTTTTTAACACTATAGGCAACCATATAATAATGATGTGATACTAGCATGGCCAAAATCTCTGATTCTAGAAAATAAGAGAACTATAAAATGAGCATTCAGTCTAGCTTGACTTAATCAGATCAGTGGGGAGGTCTTGGATTTCCAGCCAGGAAAAGGCAGTTCAGGTCACTATGGATGTTTTGACCCAGACACCTACATGTTGTGAAAATAAAATGAAATATATTCTGTCTTGAGAAAAATGGGATATAAATTTCACCTGTATATTTTTCATAATCCCTAAGGCAGTCTTCTTCAGTCTGGTGCTCTAGAAGTCATGCCTAGCAAGCCACAGGCACAGGTCCCACTGGCTTGGAATTATGGGTGTTGTAATCCAATAAACAGTGGTCGCAGCTGCATGCCACTTGCGCAAGTGGAGCTGTGTGCACAGGCTTGCCAACCACTCGTGCGGAACAATCCCCTCTCCCCACTCCCGCTGGCCCACAAAGCTAGAAAGGTTGGGGAACTCTGTTCTAGGCCACCCTTTAAGAAATACTCCTTTTGTCCAGCCCTGTGCAGAAGCTCACCATTTCAGCCTCCCCTATTTATGGCCATCCAGGATCCAGCTAAACATCTCCCTTGAAGGAGAGTCTGCCATTTCTTAAAAGACTCTGCTAATCGTTGGACAGTAGTGATGATTTAGGGCAGGGCTTTTCAACCTTTTCACCCATTGTACCACTTTTAGGATATGGCAACATCCGAGTACCACCCATCGCCTAGCAAGGTGTCAAAAACTTGATGACCCAAAAAAAAAAAAAAGGAAAAAAGTGATAAAGTACAGGTAGTCCTCAACTTAAAACAGTTCACTTAGTGACTGTTCGAAGTTACAATGGCACTGAAAAAGTGCCCCCCAAGTCACAGCCGAGCAAGACACCTGCCTGCCCGCCCGGCGGCGCTCTTCCTCCTGTCCGAGGTTTTCATTGTTGTGAGCATTTCTGTTGAGGATTGGTAGGGGTGTGGGGGTGTGGAGGGTGTTTGATTTTTATTTCCCCCCCCATCTGCTGGGTGATTGCAGCAGGTTTTGGTCACTTCACATGACCCTGGGACACTGACCGTCATAAATATGAATCAGTTGCCAAGCATCTGAATGTAAATCACAAGACCCTGGAGATGCTGCAACATTCCAGCTGATTGGTGCTTCTTCAGGGCTCAGCAGAAGGACCAGGATCAGCGCCGAGCTCCAGCTGGAGCCTGGCACTGATCCTGGCACTTCCACTAAGCCCTGACAGCCCCAAAGAAGCGCCAATCAGCTGGAAAGCGGCACTGATCCTGGTGCTTCTGCTGAGCCCTGACAGCCCTGCAGCTCCAGCCGTCTCTCCCTCAGGCTTGTGCAGTGCTGCCACCAGTTCAGCTCATTCCCCTCCCCTGCTACCACTTTTCTAGGATGGTTGCATATCACCTGCCAGGTGCCAATGTACCACAGGTGGTACCCATACCACTGCTTGAAAAGCCCTGATTTAGGGAACCAGTCTAATATAATGGTAAAGGCATCAGGCTAGAAACCAGGGGACCCTGAGTTCTAGTCCTACCTTAGGCATAAAGCCATCTGAGTAATCTTGAGCCGGTGACTTTCTTTCAGCCCTAGGAAGGAGGCAATAGCAAACTATTTCCTAAAAACTTTGCCAAAAAAGGGACTTGTCCAGACTGTCTCCGAGAATCAGATACGATTGAATGGAATAAATAAAAAGTAGTGATTTATTGGTTGGATGGTTCTCCCGGTCTTTTTTTCCAAATACCCTCTTCCGCATTTTAGCCACATATCATGGCTTCATGGAGCCTAAACTGATGTCTACCAGCCAGGTTTTTTAAACTAGTTGACAGAACATTCATTTTCCAGAGTTCCAGAGCAGTTGAAACAGGGAATGGTGTGGGGATAAATCAGATCTGGTAGCCAAACGGTAAGACTTTTTTGAAATAAAGATTTCAATAGGCTGGATAAACTCTAATTACTGAAGAAACAGGCTTTGGGAGAACCTTTGCCTACGAGGCATCCTTACTATGAATGGGGAAGTAATATGAAAGAATATTGTAATCCTCCTTATGTGTACACATAATCTTCCTTATGTTTACACATGTTACATAGGGAGTTTGGTCAAGGCTGAGGTTGGCTCCTTGGCTTGTCCAGACCTAAAAGAAGTGCAATACTATATACCTTTATAGTCAGCCACCTTGAAATAATTCACTGAGCCATGGAAATTGGTTTTATATGCATCTCGTACAATGGAAGATGCATGCTACCTACATACCAACAGAGCTTTGGGCAGTATATGGAGTTAAAATCTTATTAAAATGTAAAGCTCTAAAATACATAAAATACAAACATAAGATGCATAGGTGGTGCAGTTAAGTAACTCAATTCAGCCCTCAAATGTTGAGACAAATAAAAACATTTTCAATGGGTGCCTAAAATGTAGTAAAATCTGTGCTGTCTTGATTTCCGGGAGGAAAGGTATTGCAAGGAGTGTGTATCACAACAAAAATCATCCTCTCGTGGCTAATGCCAAAGGAGTATCTAAAGCAGTGTTTCTCAACCTCAGCCTGGACAGCAAAGGCATGTTATAATATGACATATGACAACATTGTTGTTTTCCATCCGATGAGTGACATGATATGTGTGGTTTCTGAGAATTTCGTACACAGATCTATACAAGTTTCATCAATGAAAAGCCGTTCTCTTTCCCAGGATTTAATACAAATAATATCAAATATAGGATTAGATTGCAGGTCTCAAAAAAGCTACACACACAACAGGCACCATATAAATACCGCACACAGAATAGCCCAAAGCGCACACGCTGCTGGAGAGAAGTTCCTTGGGGATGGGCTCCAGCACAAGTCCAAAAGCTTGGAAGAGTAAACTTTTGGTTCTGTATAGGATTAGATTCACGGGAGTTCATATACTGTATGTGTATGAAGATTTTCTTTAGCACTTTTCTTAATCAGAGTGTGCTTGAAATGGGCAACAACAGTTGTGTTCCTACCAAGCCTTTTTTTTTTCTTATTTTCAAATTCAGCAGGCTTTCCAGCATGTAAGATTATGTAAGTGGGCGAGAACTGTGTAGTAAGCTTGTTTTATTGTTTTGACTCTCTCTTGGAATTTTCTAAACATATGCCCGCATTTGGTCAAATTCCTTTTTTACTATTCCTTCCTTTAAATCTACTATGCGGATAGGCACTGCCATGGACCCAAGCAGGTAACTAGCAAAGTTCATTATGGTCTTAGACCAGCATAAATCGTGAATCTTTCCCATCTTTTCCCGACCCAACTTGAAGAAAGGCTGAGTGAAATTATATTTGCAGAATTCAATTAGCCAGAATTTGCCTTGTGCTCAAAAGGTAAAAGTGTTCTTAGGCAAATAATAACCTTGCTTCATAGTTTAAATAATGGTGTTATGTCCTTATTCTTGACCTCTTGTCCTTTTCCCTTGCATTTCCTGATATACCTTCAGCAAAATTGCATGGTGCACAGAATCCAAGCTGACCTTGGTGACGCTATTGGATGAAGGATTCCTGTATGATCCTTAAGAGACGTTGGATCCCTTTGAAATTACTTTCTCTTATACATTCTAACCAGGCAGAAAGAGAGCAGACTCGATTTGCTTGCCGGGAGCTATCCAATCAAGAGGTTTTGGCCCGCATACAGGAGGTAGTGAGTGCCCGCTTTCAAGCCATTGAGCAGGAGTTTAAAAACGCAGATAGCACAAGAACAAATCTGGTATCTAAAGAGGTGTTCAGAGATATCTGCAATCGACGGTTCTTGCTGCTAACTGATGAACAGGTGAGGAAAGTGGGAATTCCTTAGGACTCATTTCCTCTGTCCCAGAGAGAAAAATGCTCACCTAGGAAATACTGATATGGCCATGCCAAGTTATTTGTGTTACCCGGCCTAAGGTCAGTGGTGGGATTCAGCCAGTTCGCACCAGTTCGGCAGAATCGGTAGCTAATTTGTTTGTTGCCCAGGCCCCAGAATGGACTTCCAGAAGCGGCATCCACACAGAGACCCGGTTGTTCACATATTTGAATCCCACCACTGCCCAAAGTATAAATAATGCATTAGGTCACTGATCTTTCTTCCCCTTTTTCAATGCCTGTGAGAATCTCTTTTATGCAACTGAATACAGAAGTGTTGAGTGGAAATGTTATAACATAGGTCGGTGATGGCGAACCTTTTAGAGACTGAGTGCCCAAACTGCAACCCCAAACCCACTTATGCATCGTTGAGTGCCGGGTAGGTGTGGCCCATTGGCTGGGTGTGGGCCAATTGGGTGGGCGTGGCCAATTGGGTGGGCGTGGCTGCGGTGGTAACGGTAGACTGGGTGGGACTAAAAAGTTCAATCAATCAATTTCAACTTTGCAAGATCTTTTTTTTTCCCGTGAGAAGTTGAAATTGACTGATTGAACCCTCTCTTTTTTTTGCACACGGCAGCGGACGCCTAAAGCAAAAAGGTTTTATAAAACCCAGCTGAAGGCCTAGGACTGGGGCGACGGCACGTGGGCCCACAGAGAGGGGTCTGAGTGCCGCCTCTGGCACCCGGGCCATAGGTTCGCCACCACTGACATAGGTGTACATTCTTTTATATTCAAAAACAAAAAATGTTCTCTTACTTAAAAGCGATAGCCTGTTTAACCCCTTTTGAGCAAAACTACTTGATTCTTTTTATATGCATTTTTATTAACAGTTTTGCAAAGAACATAAAAATCAACACAATCTAATAAATAGTAAAAAAATAACAAATGTACTGAAAGAAAAAATAAATAGAAAAAAGCTTCCAGTTTCCTTTGCAGCAAATGTATAAGTACAATTGCTTACTCTATGATTACACAAAAAGGTCACTTTTTTCTATTATCCAGATTATTTTTTTTTGTAATCATTGAAAGTACAGATCATAAGTGCAGTTTCCCCCTGTTTCATGAACAAAACCTGATTCTTGATTCTTGAGCTTATTGATGTAAGGAGCATCTGACCCAGAGAAGATGGATTTCATGTGGGTCTATTATCAGTCACTGCTTTTGGTCCCCTGATTCCAAGTAGGCTGAGATGCTGTTAACTTTGCAGTATCTCTGGCCAAGAATGGCCCAATGAGAGAATCACAACTGGTCCCAAGATGTGCCAGAAATATAGTCCGCTTTAAGCCCAGTGGAGGCTGACAGGAAGGAAGTGAGAGCAGGAAATGGACAGAAGTTCTTCAGGAAGCTGCCTTTGTTAATAGATCCAAGATCCCTGTGCAAAAAAACAGCTCTTTTTTGTTTCATGTTAATCCCGGCACCCTGTATGAAAATTATAACTGGAACCCAATTAAACAGGATTCAACTAGTCTTAAATATACCAAGAACTCCCAAAAATAAATAAATCTGCAACTGATTGAGGCCAAGTCCCCAGTTCCTCTACTTTTGTTGAAGCTTCTTAGGAACTACTGTACCTTTTGCTGGATATGTATGAAGGTTTCCACTTCATCTTGTCTATTACATTGTTGATAGATTTCCCAGGCTGGCAACCTTCAAATGATAGTTAACATGGAACTCAAAGCAATGATAATATTCAGTTGATGCTTGAGAAAACATTTTGAAGCCCTCTAAGTAGTGCAGTGTGCTTTGCTTTGTATAATTTATAATATGGTAGACATGTGTCCAATGGGGGAAAGTTAAAAGGAAATTCAAAATGTACTTGTGGTCTTTGATGTTTTCCTCCAACTTGCCACATGCAAATCAAAGCCTTAGAGGTGATGAAGTTTTCTCTAAGGTCTAATTCTGTGGCATGTCAGGAAGTTGAGCAAAGTGTGTGTATGTGTGCGTACATGAGTATGCATGCACATTAAAGAAAAACAAAAATTAACTTGCCTGTTCAAACCCCAGAACAAATCATTAACCCATCGTGGAGTGTATACAGTATTAGAAATACAAGCCATTGAAATTGGCACTGAATTTCCATGTGTGCATATCCACACTGATGACTTAATATCTTGATCCTAGGCTTTCCTGCACTGATCCAGCATTTCACTTGTTCAGACAGTCAATCCAAGAACTAAAACAAAGGAACAACCAAACTTTTTATTCCATTCCTGGATCCAACCCAAGCACCATTTTCTCCTCTTTCTCTTCCCCAAAGACACTTAAAGAAGAATCAGATTAGAGTAGATCAGTAAAAGATGAAAGGATTTTCTGCAAATACATACTGTCTCACTTCCAGAATGTAAAATAAAGCAGGAAGAACAAAACTGGTCTTCAGTCTTAACAGTTTTGCTCAGGTTTTTTTGTCTGAGATCACAAACAGACAGAGAGTCAAGTCTCAAAAACAGCAAGGCAATCCTAGGACAAATATTGGAGTAGCAACAAGATGCAATTCCAGAAACTGAGCAGATTAGGAGCTGGGAAAACAGGAAATGGCAGTATGGCCAGGCTGAACTCATTCTCCCAGCAATCTTATACGGGCAGATATTCAGGTTACTTGGCCAGAAAGATGGCTTAAGAACAAACCTCAACTCTGAGGTGAAGTCTTAGTTTGCAACTAAGATATGTCCTGTCTCTTAAAAGCCTTCAAGGTTGGGATCTTGGGGGTTTCAACCACTGACCCAATTCACTGAGTCCTCAGGCAACTTCCCAGCAGAGCTTCTCTTGTAGGCCCTTTATAGATTCTTGGAGGGACTTCCTTGTTCGTGGTTTAAAAAAATCCCTCAAGGAACAACAAAGATATTATGTGCTTTTTTGCCCTAGCTGTCATATTTTCATTAGATATTCATATTGCCTCAGAGTTTTAGGCCTCAGACCATCTTGCTATTTCTTTGTAAAGGACATATCCTTGCAACAGAACCTCCATCTTGCTGCCATCCTGCTTCTGAGACAGGTTAAAGCTGCATCCAAGTGGAAACATAGGGCTTTGTATTGGAAAATATATTGCAACCTCCCGAGTGAAAATTCTGATTTACCTGAAGGTGAACCCTCAAGGAGATCAGCAGCTGGTAGAGCTCCCATTGGCTCACTGTAGGATCACTCCCTGTCCATCTGACCACAAGGCTCTTCTTTTTACTCCATCCCATTTTTAGACTGTGCGTCCTATAGGAGCATCCTCTCCAAACATCAAGATGGCCGCTGCAACTAGTACATAACTGATTCAAGTAGAAAGGGGATAGGATTCACATACACCAGCAAGAGAAGTGCTTCAGTCACACATTTGCAGCTGTCATCTTGTCATCTTTAACCATACTCTATGGACACCCTTCAACTGAAGATGAATTTCCTTCATCAAAGATTGTTGGGGGGACCTTGTTTTCTTGTCCTGTGTTATCTTTGCTTGACTCATCTATCATATGCCAAATGCCTGACCTCATATATGCTAATAGATCTGTTTCTGTGTGCTTAGTTCGAAAATCTCTGGAACACAGTACCCCTTGACCTGAGTGGGAAATTGAAATATCCTGGATTTTTGAGGAATTTCAGCTCTGAAGGAGGAGGAATGTCTGATATGACCAATGTAGAGAATCCCAGCAAACCAGTCTTGGCTGCTGAACCTGAATCACGGGTTCCTTTACGACCCAAAACCGCAACTCATCCTCAATCCCCAAAGAGGGTGAGTATATCATGTCCTTCTTCTGATCTGGAAATGAGACTAAAACATTTGCTTTCTTCTTTGGCAGTTTGGATGCTATCAAAGAGCCATGATGGCACAGTGGTTAGAATGCAGTATTGCAGTCTAATACTGCCGACTGTCAGCAGTTCAATCCTGACTGGCTCAAGGTTGACTTGTCATGTGTCTGATTAACGAAACACTTAAAAGGACTTTCAGGCATATTTTTCCTAAAAGCATTTATTAAGGTTACAGAGACGTCAGTACAACATGGTGGAAATGCTTAGGTCTAGCTTCTCTTCCGTTACGCATATACATTCTAAGCATTTCCCACTCCCTTATTTTGGGGTCATGGTTCACATCTTCCAATCAACTTGGAAGATGTGATTTACTTCCGGTTTCTTTCTCCCGGGCTATCCTTATGCTCCTCCCTCTTTCCCAGTTGCTGGTTTAACTATATAAATACCAGACAGTTCTGCATATTGTCAAAGCAAGAATATGCAGTATTTGCAGCGTTGACATGACTCAGCCTTCCATCCTTCCAAGGTCGGTAAAATGAGGACCCAGATTGTTGGGGGCAAAATGCTGACTCTGTAAACCGCTTAGAGAGGGCTGTAAAGCCCTGTGAAGCGGTATGTAAGTCTAAGTGCTATTGTTACTGCTGTCTTCCTTTCTTGAGGTTTTAAGTTGGGATTCGCAACTGAGAAAGCAGCCAGCAAAGACTTGAGAGATTTTATGTCAGGACTTCAGAAATAGTGAAGTCACTTCTCCTTTGAATAGGTTTCGATTCCTAGTGATTTCTTGGACACAGCCATGCAATTTTCTTGGTAACCACATTGACTCCAGATTGCTTCTTATGTTTCCTGTTTTGTTTAGCTTTTTCACTATCCAGTTTACACAGCAGTCCAGGTTCCTGTCAGGGTGGTCTCCCATCCAAATATTTGCTAACTCCAGCCTTGCTTAGCACTGGAAAAAAAAATAACTTCACACCTGGTCCTCACATTTATGACTGTTGTAGTGTGCCCACAGTGACATGATTGCCATTTGCATGCTTCACAACCACCTCTGGGGAAGCTGGCCGTAAAATTGCAAGTGATGGTCAGGCAACATCTCACTTAATGACTGCAGCCATTCACTTAACAATGGAAGTGTCGTAACCCTGTTGCAGTCCTGTGAAGTTTCACATAACAGCCGTGTTGCTTAGTGTGGGAGTGCTGATCCCAGTTATGGTGGCTAAGTTAGGCCTACCTGTAATCGTTGTGATTTCCGAATAAAAAGAAAATTTCTAATCACTATCCTTAATTTTATTCTGCCCCAGATTTAGAAAGCAATCACATTTCATTCCCTTGAGCCCTGAATGGCAAGCTGAGGCGTTTGTCCTCTCTTTAGGTCCCAACTGCCGGCAGGCCTTACACAGCAGGTGTTCCCACTCCACCTATTCTGAATTGCCAGCCAATTGAAAGTAAAATTCGGAAAAATGTTCAGCACTGTTGGAAAGAAATCCTGAAAGAATGTCGAGAGAAGGATGTGGAGCGCTCAGGAGAAATCTCCGTAGAAGATATTTTAGGTTGGTTGTCTTTTTTAAAAAATCTTATTTAGAATTTTTTTTTTTTATTAAAAGTTTTATAAAAGTTTTACAATATAATTGCCCACCCTCTCCAAAACCCTCCCTCCCTCCCCCTCCCCCCTCCCTCCCCCCCCACTTCCCAGTAGGGTTGCCAGGTCTGCTTCCAAAAAATAGCGGACAAGCGGGGCGGGGGGGGGTTAAGTAGTAAAAAAAGTAGACTGTACAGCTTTAGATTACGTACCATTTCATCATAAAGCTTTTGAATTAAAAAAATGTCCATTATTTTGTGAAAAAAATAGTGAACATAATGTGTAAAAAGTGGACTGTCCACTCAAATAGTGGACACCTGGCAACCCTACTTCCCAGAGCTAATCACAGGGTTAACAATAGGATAATCATATTCTAACTAACATTAATCAATTATTAGAATAACAAATCTGTAAAATCCTTTAACTCTCTTTTTAACATAAAATATATTAAGATTAGACACAATAATAATAATAATATCATATTAATAATTAAAAATAAGGACAAATAAACTGTATAACAACAATAATAATACTCTAAAATTCACTCAAAAACCAAATGGAACTTTTTGGTCCCATATTTCTTCTCAATATAATCTACCCATCTTCTCCAAACCGAAATATATCTTTCTTGTGAATAATCCTTCATTTCATATATCTTCTAAATCTTATTTAGAATTTGAAAGTGGTGTCAGTCATTCTCACCAAAAAGCTGCTATCCCGGGGCATCCACAGATTGTGGTCCAAAAAGTCAAGATGGTGCCTTGCACGTTAAAAAAAAAAAAAACCAGATAAAGCTTCAGTCCCACTGCCATGGCTGCATCTTGACTTTTTTGATCACCCCAAGTTGCTATATATATATTAGGCTGTCCCCCCCCCTCACCCCAGTGTCTACCCCAGTCTATTTCCCTTTACCTAGACAGCTGGGCACCAGCCACACCCACTGTTAGTTTCCAAAAATGCATGCATCCGTCTGGGACCATATGCAATCTTGGAAAGAAGCAAAGTTCTTTAATTCTCTTTTAATTAAAAGTGTTTTAATTAAAATTAGATATGGCATGGAGATTAATGGGCATCAAAGGAGTGGTGTGTTGGTTCTACTCCTCATAATGCTGCAGCCTCCTGAGTTCCTTGATTGAGCAATTATTCCACTTAAGAGCAGGCTTGGAATTTTAATAGAGATATATATCACTCTTTTTGCTGCTGTCAATCTTCCTATCATGCTGCTCACTGAATCCTACTCACAGAAGCAAAAGAAAAAGGTTTTTTTAAAAAATTGCTATCATTTTGAGTGCATCAGGTGTAGCCTAATTTTTAAATCTATCCTCAGTTTCCCTGTGGCTGATAATCCTGATTCTTTTTAGCCTAGTTCAGCTCTTCTCCATGTGGTTGTCTTTTCTTGTGAAATCAGACCAATATCATCTCCAGGGATAAGAAAGACGCATGGTTACCAGCATCAGATCCAGTTGACCTCTGTGTGTCCGTCTCTGGAAAGTATGATCAATACAGTCTGTGAACACCAGACCAGTTCCTCTTGACCATATCAAACAAAAATGATTGGATTTTTTCCCCAAAGTGGCTTCCATGTTCTTTTTCATCCACACAACTGCAAATAACACAATTCACACATACAAATAAGCTGTAGTGCACCGATCTATACTTAGGTATCCCTTCATAATTCCTGAAATATTTCCATGAGTGTCTGCAAGGTGTGGTCAAAAACGTCAGAATGCCAACTGTGATATTGAGATCAAAGCTCCACTTTTTATGTGCATTACACACACACACACACACACACACACACACACACAGAGAGAGAGAGAGAGAGAGAGAGAGAGAGAGAGAGAGAGAGAGAGAGAGAGAGAGAGAGAGAGCTTTGACTGCTAAACTTGACTGCACCTTGGCTTTTTTGATCACACCCTACAGACATACCCAGTTCAGGAAGTCACCTGCCAATTATCTAATGTAGATAGCCCAAATTAAGGATGCATTTGGGTGTTATGGTTGATTAATATTCTAATCCTCAAGATCGGTGTTTCTCAACCTTGGCAACTTTAAGATGTATGGACCTCAACTCACAGGAATCCTGGGAGTTGAACTCCACACACCTTGAAGCTGCTAAAGTAGGCAAACACTGCTCAAGAGGATTGTCCGATGCAGCTGAGTGAGTATATGCAGTGCTTTTTTTCTAAAAAACAAAGGTGCCGGAACTCTCACACGTCATACAACCCACCTTGCCTACCCTACAAGGTTCAATCCAAAAAAGGTGCCGGAACTCCGTTCTGGGCATTCTATGAGAAAAAAAGCCCTGAGTATATGATTCCTATTATTTCAGCAGAAGAGACCCAAACTGTCACTTCTAGACGCAGGTTCGAATCAGATCAGTTGGTTTCATCTTGCAACCTTGGTTCCTACAGGTATAATAGAGAAATTTCATTTGAATTTAACCAAAGAAGAAATTCAGCAGCTCATAACAAAATATGATTTTAAGAGTGTAGGCAAGTTTGCATACTGTGACTTCCTTCAAAGCTGTGTGCTGCTGTTTAAACAACAAGAAGTATCTCCTCTGCAGAGACTTCTGATCCAAAACTCACGGGTCCAGGTAAGCACTCCTTGGTGAAAGGGGGAGCTTCTATGCTAAAAGGGGTGTGTGTGGGATGGTTGTCTTCCCTAGTTACACATCTTTCATCTCTCCAAGTAGTACAGCTGTTTTAACACTCACATAAGCCAAACCCAGTCCTGATTGCAATGAAGGAAATATATCCACAGAAGATGAATTATAACTGAAGAACTGAAATGGACCCACGTGGGCACATAACCCATATATCAGTGATGGCGAACCTTTTAGAGACCGAGTGCCCAAAAACTGGCCCTGCCCCCATTCCACCCCCGCCCCGCCCCCGCTCTACCCCCACCCCGCCTTCCCACAGGGCCACTCACTGCCTCCAGGGCCCGCCGTAGATTGCCCAGGCAGCCCAGCAGCGCCATGGCGGCCACGCCCTCTGCCCGCGCCCCGCAGCATCAACTGTGCGTGATGGGGTATGAGGGCAGAGTCTTGTCTACACTGCCTGACTGCCATGTCGTTGGCTGTGCTGCTCCGCGTGGGCCACGCTCGGGGACGACTCTCCTCCAGAGAGGCTGCTGGTGAGGGGGTCGTGGGGGAGGCAAGGCTGGGGCAACGGCATGTGTGCCCACAGAGAGGGCTCCGAGTGCCGCCTCTGTCACCCGTGCCATAGGTTCGCCACCACTGCCATATATCCACAAAAATGTCACGTGTGTGAACATGCAATTACTTGTGGTTTAGAAAAACACCTGCCTTTCAATAAAACGTGTTAGTTGGAAAAGATGTGACCGGACACCTTCTGACCTTTTGTCAGCATTCACTAATCCAGCTCTCCTCTTACAAGGACCTTGTTTTAATATATCCGAAGTACATCTTTGTCTATCCCACTGTTTCCCCAGCCTTAGCAACTTGAAGGTGGGTGGACGGGGGTTGAGCACGCTGGCTGGGGAATTCTGGAAGTTGGAGCCCACCCATCTTCAAACTGCTATGTTTGAAGAACACTGATCTATCCAGTGAAAGGGGATCTGACTTTTCCACCTCTCTGCTAGAACATCCCTGGACCACAGTCCCCCACCTTTCTCAATGCAATGATGAGGATACAACCCCAGATCCTGCACTGCTGGCGGCCAATGAGGCGGACATTTAAGTTCTATGATGAAAGTGGGACTGGCCTTCTCAGCATCCAAGATTTCCGACAGGTAGTTTGTTTATTGCTAAAACTTCCGTTGAGCAGAGTTGATGGCTTCATAGGCACGTCCATGTAGTTACCATGGGAATCATATGGAATGGTGCTCCTCTTCTTCGGCGGCTGTTTTGCCCAGACTAGCCTACAGCCCTGGCATTCACTGCTGTCTTCCACGCGGGTACTATTCAGGCCCAGACCTGCTTCGCTTCCAAGCATAAATAAAGAGAGCCAGGTGGTATCACCTGCTGAAACTAAATGCCAATTTTAACATTTTTACTTGTGTTTATGTTTTTGCCACCAAGTGAACCAGGCCTTGAAGGAAATTGCCCTTACAATACGAAGCTCCCTGTACACATTAGTTGCAAAATTTGAGCAGTGGGTTGTAAAAGCACCTTTCCAATGAAAGCTTTTCCACCCAAGGAGAGGGTTGGGTTTTTTTTGGGTGGCATTTGAAGTTACATTTTATGTAAACTTGTATGGAGGCACTAATATCTCACAGTTGTCTTGATATTTAAGTGCTGACTCTTGATTGGTTTCTTGGTTTAATTGGTGGGTTTAATTAGAGGTTTAAAAACTACTATTTACTTTGTTATAGCTTTGTTACACCAACCACATGAGGGATATCGGGGCCAATTAAATGGCGTAAATATACAAAGACAAAGGCTCCCTCGAGTCAAGTTCTGCTCCCAAGTTGTGTCCTCGTACATTTTCTTGACAAGAATGTGAAAATAGTTTTCCGTTGTCTTTTCTGATATGAAAAGGTTGAGATAAACAAAATAAAAGTATAAGAACCGGCTCTTGTAACTTTCACAGCTAGAAGTAATTCATCCAAATCCCATTTTTTTTTTAAAAAACTGCCTTCATTCAGTAACTGTTGGTCATCCTATACCAGGGGTAGGCAACCTTGGCTCTTTTATGACTCGTGGACTTCAACTCCCAGAATTCCTGAGCCAGCATGGCTCAGCTTGGAAACCTCTCCCTTTCCCCTCAGCATGGCTGGCTCAGGAATTCTGGGAGTTGAAGTCCACGAGTCATAAAAGAGCCAAGGTTGCCTACACCTGTCCTATACAGCTCTTGTTTTCTTTATTTTTGACTTGGTTTATATCTTCTGCTAAGGCTAGAGGGGTGTGTTAATAACACAAACATCTCTATTTGTTACTAAATAATTATTTCAGTTTTACATTTGTGGGATTTAAGGAAAATAGAGAGAAGCTACCGCTTAATTTCTTTACCTCATGTTTGTATCTTTAATCATTGTGAAGGTTGGTCTCCCAGAGCAATTGGAAGATGGAGGGGGGGGGAACCTTCCTAGAAGTCGCCTCAGTTTCTCCCTGCCTCTAGCAGTTTCAGTCATCTTAATAGACATTCCCCCAGCACAATGTTTTTAAAAATAGTCCAGGATTAAACTGGACCATATTATTGAAATACTACAGGTAGTCCTCAATTTGTGACTGTTCACTTAGCGACTGTTTGAAGTTATGATGGACCCTGAAAAAGCTACTTACCACTTGCATTTAAAGTTTTGAGGCCTCCTCCACCCCATAGTCCCATGACAGCATTTTAGGTGTTCAGCAACCAGCTGCTGTTAGCGGTGTCCCACGGTATGTGACTGTGATTTACAACATTTTTGCCAGAAACCAGCATTTACTTCCAATTTCCAGCACAAAAAAAAGGCCCCCTAGTGAACAATGGGCTTGCTAAACAGCCATGGCATTCGCTTTAGGACCCCGTGTTTTATTAACAACTGGCTGCAAAAAAAAATCATAAAATCAGGCACGGCCACATGATGACCTGCTTAACAACCGTCACAACTTATGACAGTAATAGCAGGCTCAATTACAGTCGTATGTCGAGGACTGAGTTTATTTTAAACCAAAAAATAGATGCCTATCTTAATGTAGCAGTATAGATTCCTCCTTGGGAAAATGGAGGTGGATTTGGGATTCAAAAATGGAAATTATGGCTTGCAGTGCTTGGGATACCTGCCTGAGATGTGTACGGCTGACAAATTCTGGCCATTGCTGTCTTAGCCATGTTTTTGTTTAAGAAATCTATCATTTGCAAGGAAAGTCCATTTTAATCTATCATTGAGACGTGGGTTGTCAGAGCTGATCGAATTGTGATACCCCGTGTTGGCCTAATTCCCAAATTAGCTGGTATTCTTGATGATCTCAGATCAGAACGGCAACCAATACAGCCAAGTTGTCCCCTGGGAGGAGATAATGTCAAATATTCTGGGGTTTGAATTGAATGTGGTTGTGCTTAAACAAATGGTGTTCCACTTTGGTTCTCTGCTACAAAATTTTCTGGATGGTAAATAATTAAAGATTAGATCTATGTCCTATTTCTATCCCTTCTGCAGGTGCTACGAAAATATGGAATCAATCTCTCTGAAGAGGAGTTTTTTCACATCTTGGAATATTATGACAAAAACCTAACTTCCAAAATCTCCTACAATGAATTCCTCAGAGCATTCCTGCAATAAGAAAAAAAAAGGGGTAAAGGGAAATCACCCTTCAGCTTGAAGAATCATTAGCAAGATTTATTAATTTTGAAGTTAATAAAAACCATATAAATTCAGCCTCTTAGTAAACACTTCATCAGCAATCTTCTAAAGCTGATAATATAGAAACTAGTAACGTCTGGTGAAGTCAGTCTTCTCTAGGTTGGGGCTATTAATTTTCTCAAAATCCACTTAGCTGTGAAAACAGAAAACAATTACAGTGACAGTTCCAAGACCCATACACACAATTAAAGGATTATTAAGAACAGGAACTCGCAATTTAGATTTTAAAAGCCACCCTACTCCATTTTATTTGCTTCAGTTTTCTAAATGGATTATATTTAATACATTATCCTCCATTATACAGAAATTGGATACCTCAGAATGCAGCAGAAGTGGTAGCTATGCATAAGCCTGTGGAAATCGTTTATGCATAAATTTTGATCCCAGTTTTGATATGTCAAGTTTGTTAAAAATGGGCCCGGCATAATTAAAAAGTCCTTTTGTATCCAAATGACATTTCCAGAGCTGGAATAGCACGTTCACTTGGGGGATGCAAGTCTGTGTCTCTGCCTCACATCAGCTTGAAATAATTTGTATGAAATTGGTGGCCCACTGAAACTTTTCCTCCACCCTTTTTTCCCACACTCCCCCACCTTTCTTCACTAGAGATGTCCACAGGGGCATCAAATAGTGAAAAACGTTAAGTGTGGGGCCACCAAAATTCTGTGTTTTTAATACACAGATGTACATCAAAGCCAATTGGAGGTTCAATCCCATTATCAGGACTGCCGTCTTCACTTTTTGACATATGCTAATGACACCAAGGCCTTTGGCTGTTTTCCACTATGTGGCAAATGCAGGGATTGAACCACAGCTTGTGGAGGGTGGGGGGCATTCAACAATTCTCTTGCATATTCCCAGTATAAAATGTCCTTTCTTCAGGTTGACCTGTGTTAGAAACTGACAACTGACCTCTGGTCATCCCTTTTTATACTCCCCGTCAACCATTCAGTTGTGTCCAACCTTTGGCCACTCTATGGATCAGCACTGTCCATGCCCCTCTGACTCACCGTGTCCTTCAGACCTGCCATGATTATCCTGGTGTCATCCTTTATAGTGTCCAACCAACAGATACTAGGGTGGCCCCTGCTCCTTTTTCCAATGATCACTCCTAGCATGATTGACTTTTTGAGTGAGTCAACCTGCAGATATGGCCAAAGTATGGCTGCCTCTGTTTGGCAATCTTACTTTCAAGTGATTTTTTTTGTGAAGTTTGGTCTAGGACTTCTTTGTTATTTTGCAGTCTTATCGCCTCCAGCACCACAGTTCAAAGGTGTCCGCCCTTCTCCTATCTGCCTTCTTCAGAGTCCAAGTTTTGCAGTCATAAGTAGCAATTGGAAAAATTATTGCATTAACTAATCTGCATTTGGTTGTGAGGCTGATGAGTTTACTTTTCTAGATGTTATTCATGCTGCGTATTACAGTTCTTTCAAGTGCTATATGCCAGGGATTCTGTTCAGAACTGGGCCACACAAAGGCGGGCAAAAGCATGAGTGCACAGCTCCACTTGTATGAGTGGCGGGTATGCACACTTGTCTGCAAAGCTCCATTTATGCGAGTGGCACAAATGGAACTACATGTGCAAACATGTTTACTCGCTGCTGGCACAGAACCATCTCCTCTCCCCCCCCCCCACCGCCACTGCCACCGCTGGTCTGCAAAGCCAGAAAGTTTGGGGACCATTGCTATGCACCTTCTGATCTTAGGCTGCAGTCACCACTTTGGTCAATTTTAGTACCCAGGAAGAAGAATTTCTTTACTGTTTCAATGGTCTCATTGTTGATCTGCACTCTGACCTGTGTGTTCTCTGCAGTTGTCATTATCTTTGTTTTCTTGATGTTAAGGTCTCAGTTGAAATTTTTCACTTTCATCTTTGACTATCAGGATTAGCCACTCCAAATCCTCCTTTCTTTCTGTGAGCAATGTTGTATCATTTGCATGTTGGAGGTTGTTAATATTCCTACCAATGATTTTTACCCCAATGGTAGATTCTCCAACTGTGCATTACTTATAACTATTTCTGTGCACATGTTGAATAGTATAGGTGACAGGATGCAACCTTGCCGAGTGTCTTTTCCAATTCTGAACCATTTTGTGTCTCCATATACCATTCTTACAGTGGCTGCCTGATCAGAGTACAATGACTAAATGAGCTGCATGCGGGGTGGTGATATTCCCAGTTCTTTGAGGCAGCTTCAGAGTTTATCATGGTCAAACAGTTGAAGGCTTTTGTGTAGTCAACGAAGCACACGCAGAGATCTTTTTGGTATTCCTTTGCTTTTTCCATCATCCAGCCTAAATTGGCAATATGATCACGCAGGCCTCTTTCTTTCTGAAATCCTCCTTGTACATTAGGCAGTTCTCTATTGCCGGTTGGGTTGAAATGTTGCTGGATTATCTTCAAGGGAATTTTACTCGTGTGTATTAAGGCTACGGTCCAGTAATTGGAACAGTCTTTTTTTGACCTTTTCCATTCTTTTGACCACTGACCAGTCTTCCGTGCAGTAGCAAAGCATTGGCAGTGCTTTCGTTGGCAGTGGCTTCAGCAAGTCTGTAGGAATTCTGTCAACTCCTGGGGCTTTGTGGTTAGGCAACTAGTTAAGTGTCCACACTACCTCCTCCCACAGGATATCTGGTAGGTCAGCTTCTCCTCTTACGGCTTGGCCTTGTTTTTTGTTTGTGTAAAGTTGTTCTGCATATTTCCGCCATCTTTCTATGATTGATTGTTGGTCATGCAATTCCTTCCCATCACATCCTCTGACCATATAGCCTTTCTTGCCATAAAGGGGTTTCTGGTCTTCTTCACATAATTGAAATACTCGTGTATGACCTGTCATGGCTGCTCCTTCCAGTTTCTTACATTGCTCAGCCTAGTACTTTTCTTTATCTTTTCTTGCTTCTCTCTGGAACTTTAATGTTCCACATTTCTTCCCTGTCACCAATGGCTTTTGCTTTCCTTCTTGCTTCTGCTGTCTTTATTGCAGCTTCTGATATCCAACTGGCTAATTTCTTTGGCTTTTTGTGTGTAATATATTCTTGGGCTACTTCAGTGATGGTTGTTTTCATTTCCCCCCATAGATCATCTGCTTGTCTTTCTATAATATTGAGCAGTTCAAGTCTGTTCTTAACTTCAACTGCATATGCTGAGCGAATCTTCTCGATGTCAAATTTTTGAATCATGGGTGGTGGTTTGACATTGCAACACCTGAACATTTCCTAGGCAGCTGTTCATGGTCCGACCCACAATTTTTTTACCAGGGAATGTTTTCACGGTGAGGATGGAACTTTTCCACTTCTTTTGACATAATATGTAGTCGATTTGGATTCGATGTTCCCCATCTGGTGAAGTCCAAGTATATAATCACCTCTTCTATTGTTCAAACCACATGTTCTTTATGCTTAGCTGTTGTTCGTGGCATAGCTGAATCAGATGTTCTCCTGCCTCATTTCATTCACCAAGGCCAAACTTGCCTGTGAACCCTGTTTCTTCCATTTCTCCCACTTTTGCACTGAAATATCATATAATGTAGTTTTTTTTGTATTTGTTTCAGAGTTTCCTGAATTTTAGCATATCAGTCTTTGATGTTCTCTACTGCTGAGTCCGCAGTGGAAGTGTAAACTTGCAGAATTGTCATGTTGCAAGGTTTTCCGTTGATACGTGTTGCCATTATCCTATCACTGACTGTTTGAAAACTTGACTGGGAACAGTCAAGGGGTGGGGGCAAGAGAATCTATTGTTTGACTAAGCAAGCTTTTGCACAGGAAAAACCAGAGCTGGTTTTGCTTCTTCACTTCCGAGATGGTGTATCCAATAAAGTTCTACCTTTTGGGATTTCATTGCCTAGAGCAGTGGTGGTGAACCTATGGCACGTGTGCCAGAGGCGGCACTCAGAGCCCTCTCTGTGGGCACGTGCACCATGCCCCGGAGATGGCAACCATCCCTCTTCAACCAGCCACCCACTAACTTGCCGAGGTCCCACATGGCTGGATGCATCCCAGCACCCATGCGCTCGCTGGCCTCTGTGTGCAGGGGCCGATGGTGTCAGGCAGCAACTGCCCCAGCCCCTGCCTCACCTTGTCCTGTGACAATGGCACCCCCACCCTGCCTCGCCTTGCTTCACCTCACCCCACAGGACGAGCCTCCTGCCCACCGCCCCACCTGCTAGGGACCCCCTGGATCTCCCCCAACCTTGCCCGGCCCCCACAGGCATCCCTCCCCACGAGCAACATTGAGGTGATCACGCCCACCTTGGCCACACCCACCCAATCTGCCATAACCACCACAACCACGCCCATCCAGTGAGCCACGCCCACCTGGCACCTGGCGATAAACAAGTGGGTTTTGGGTTGCAGTTTGGGCACTCGGTCTCCAAAAGGTTCACCATCACTGGCCTAGAGGAATCCTTTTGTTGGGTTCGCTAGTCAGACTGTTGACATTTATACTGTTCACCCTCCCATCATGGTGAGGTACGGTTGGGGGGGGGCTTTATACTAACCTGGGAATTTTTGGAGCATGGAGAGGACCATGTGATAATGTAAAGTAATAGAACTGATATGTGAGGCTCTGAATTACAAGTTCTGAGTACACAGTATTGCTATGAAATAATTCAATCTTTATTAGCTCATAAACTTTCAGCCTTAGGGGTTATTAGTGGAGATCAAAGAATTTAGGAGGGGAGCAAATAAAGCCTGGGCTTTTGGACACCCTTGTAACATACATGATCCCCCATGGCCTCAATTTTTCTAGCCCAAGTCCAGCATCTTTGCAAAAAGCTCTAAAATAAGTCAATGTTATTCAAAGAAGACAAATTGGAACTGTGAACAATTACTTGATGACTGTTCCAATATTATTTGCTAAATTTGTCTGGAAATAGTTTTTTAAGTTTCTGAAATCATTGCTTTTCTTTTTAGAAATCTGT